TTCCGCATGTTTATTTTCAATGTTCCTTTTCAATTTTCCGTTTTTCCGTAAGTTAATTAGATCTATCTATGTTCTGTATGTTCATTTTTCAAAGTTCCGTATGTTCCTTTTCAATGTACCGTAAGTTCATTTTCAATGTTTCGTTAATTCATTATCAATGTTCCGTATGCTCATTTTCAATTTTCCGTATGTTCATTTTCATTGTTCTGTATGTTCCTTTCAATGTTCCACATATTCATTTTCAATATTTCGTACATTCATTTTCAATGTTTATTTTCAATATTCCGTGAGTTCCTTTTCATTGTTCTGTATGTTCCTTTTCAAAGTTCTGTAAATTCATTTTCAATGTTCTATAATTAATTTTCAATGTTCCGTGTGTTCCGTATGTTCTTTTTCAATGTTTTGTCTGTTCATTTCCAATGTTCCAATGTTTCGTAAGTTCATTTTCAATGTTCCTTAAGGTTTTTTTTTCAATGTTCCGTATTATTCCTCTCTAAGTTTTTAAGTTCATTTACAATTTTCCGTATGTTCATTTTCCATGTTTCGTATGTTCCTTTTCAGGTGCAGATAGAAACAGCAATGAAACCATACATTCAATTAGTTCTCTTGTTCTGTCTTATTGGATTAGCTCTTGGCAGTATATCTTATGCAGATGACCGAGGTTTATCAAAACAATCTGGATATTTTGAACCCAATTGCAGGCGAAGACGAAGTTTCGGAAGAGGGGATTGGAAAGGTTTAAAGATTTTCATTGGATTCACACGAGCAAATGATTCAAAAAATGCTATGACATTTAGAAAAAAAATACACAAACATAATTGTTCCCTACATAATATTTAAAAACTTTCTGATTAAATATTAAATCTTGTTTGTATCATCAGATGTCCCTGTTTGTTATATACTTAAATACGAAGAAAAGACAAATATTGATGACATAAAATGTCGACTTTCAATTTCACTGTAAAATAATTATTTTTCATAGCAGGAATACATATTGTCCGTATTTGCAATGGTATCTTGCCGGACTACTTTCTTCTAAATTCAGTCAATATACAATATTTTAGTGACAGTCTTTCAAATTGTAATAGACAGATACTTTTATTTCCTCCAGATCTAGAACTGAAGAGCATGAAAAATGTAAAAACGAGAAAAGTATAATATCTATAATTTTTACATTGTGGTATGAAAATTATCATATTTCAATCGAGATTACCGCCGCTTATGAACTTTTTATTTTTTACCACTCGATGAAAATAGATATTGGGGTAATAGAAAAAAACTTGAACATCCTCTACTTATTTCTTATTCTTGATATTTCAATGAAACTTCTCGGAAGTTTTTCATAATTAACCGATATAGAATAAAAACGAATCATGTTCAATATATTTTTTCTTATAATTATTTCTCAAAAGCTTTATAATTTCGGAGTAATATAACATTTATTATTATTTAACATTATTTTAACATTATAAAATTCATGTCTGCCCTTTCTAAAGAAGTAAAATTTATTTGTTTCTGAGACATAATGTGCCTTTAAACATTACATACATGATATTTGAAATTTTTTTCTTATTACCATTTACAGAAATTTTCAACAGGCAAGAAATACATCAATGAACATTCGACGAAGCCTGCCGCCGCTTGATACAGTGTTACAAGAACCTACACAACAGAAAATGACGACGTTGAGAATTTTGAGAAATAAATTAAGTGTTGAAAAAATCAATTTTGTTATTTTTATTCACCATACAACTAGTTAAACCATCCAATCAAATATTTCCCGTGAACCTATACAATGGAAAGATCGCTACCCTGACCTTTCATTTGAATAACAATAGATTTAACTACAAACTTTGACATGTGCCCTTAAGTTATTTTAAATAACAAATATGTTGCGGTGAAATTCTTATTGTATCAACCAATTTGATAATAAGAAATAGACAGGTCAGGGATTTATGCATAGCCAGATTCTCCATCCAAATCAATACTTATTTAATATACATTTCTTGAAAATTCTCTGAATTTATTTTAGTTCGATTATGTTTGGAGCTATATGTATGCACATTATGCCTCATACTAGTTTTTAGAGAGAGCAAACGTGAATATTATAACATTTTGATAATGATTTTATAGCATGTGAGATGCCCGTTACCCGGAGAAAAAAGTGCTTAATGTGAAAACTAATGTCATAAAAATAGCGAAATGTAAACAAAGTAGTATTGTGACAATCGGAACGTCCTTGGCTATTATCTATAATAACCTCAGAGTCAAAACTGATTGAAAATAGTTCTACCACCTAGTTTCAGATGTAAGCAGAAACAGAGTGTGTAATCTTCGATAATGTAAAACGAATGTATATATTTGACATCCAAGCTAAGATAAAAATCGGTACAATTATGATTGAAAATATGTGTGACAAAGATGTTTAATTCAAATATGCCCACTGATGTACAATTTTAAACAAATCCGACAAGTTGGCATTTTGTACTTTCGGTTTCCACAGCCATAAAAAAAATCTAAAAATAATGTATAGCTTGCTTTGTTGTATATTTGAATTCACTTATTTTAGATGAACTTTTACTTGACATATTGGGGGAAAAATGCCAACAACTCTCAGCACTAAATTACTTTTTGTTAACATGTTTAGGTTAGACCGAAATACGGTATCCGTTCGGTGTATTCATACTATTGTGCTCGACGTCCAAATTCGAAGACTGGCGGTAAGGAATGAAAAGTTGCGATTGGTAATGTGACTTCCATACAAAATACTAAATCACAAAATTGTACTAATAGCAAAAACGTAACAGAATAAAATATATAGTTGAGTTAATTGCCCAATGAGTAACATTTTTGATAGATAGACAATAGATATGTATTCAGGTTAAAACACATACATTGTAGCAGGGTCTTTCAAATAGAAAGACCCTGATTGTATATATATATAATGCAAACACTTATTAATTTTCATTTAAAAGTTATAACAATTGTATTAAAATATTTCGAAAGTTTGTCAAACATAAATATCACAGGAGGCTCATTAAATAATAATAATAATAAAGGACAAAATCTAGAAGTTACATTTCAGACAATACCAAATTTATCTTTCTTTCCTATGACTAGATATCAATTTACGAATTGAGCCGCGTCATGACAAAACCAACATAATGGGTTTGCGACCAGCATGGATCCAGACCAGCCTGCGCATCCGCGCAGTCTGATCAGGATCCATGCTGTGCAATCGCTTATCAACTCTATCACAAGTGGAGAAACTAACAGCGAACAGCATGGACCCTGATCAGACTGCGCGGATGCGCAGGCTGGTCTGGATCCATGCTGGTCGCAAATTCACTATGTTGGTTTTGTCGTGACGTGGCTCAATTTATAATAATGTGGCGACGTATGTGAAAGCGTGTATAACGTACATGTAGTATGCAATAAGCACGGATTGCCAATGTAAGCTTCCAATGGGGTCCTTGGGTATAAACTTACTTGGAACCTATTGTAGTACACCAACAATAAATTTCATGTGGCAAAATGGGCCAACGATGACGAATGTAATGTTTGGTATGGTAACCATCACAATATGTATCATTTTCCCACCTTGAACAAAAATATTTATAGTACAGGAAGATAAACGTCGATTGGAGTTTGAGACAGGAGGGGCAGTATTTCGACACGTTGTTTCCGTGAGGCAGATACCGTATACTCATTAAATACTGGTTGGTCCCAGGAACATATTCGAGAGTATTTCAATTATGACCCATATATTACACTTTCCACATTATTATTAGTTATAAAGATTTTGACAGGTTATATGGCCCTATATAAACGGTTGTTTGGAAATATAACCCGAGCCGTTAGGCGAAGGATTATATTGCAAACAACCATTTATATACGGCCATTTAACCTGTCAGAAATATTAATAACGAATTTATAACACAGCAAGCCTAATCTTTTAGAGAAATTAGTGAGATGTCTTGATAAATTGTCAGTACCCGTGAGTATTAAACTATATAAACGTCACGATTATCCAATGAAAATCAATGTCCCAGATCCAAGATTGGACACAAATTTCGTGTTTTTTGTTGTTGTTTTTTTTTGTTACGTTCTGGTGAGATGACCATCTCGTTAAACAGAAATAGATTTTTTTAATCAAAGTAAATTTACTGTACCAACAAATAATTTAACAAGTAGAAATAAAATGTATGAAGCTTGCGTTTTACAAAATGCAGCTTGTGTCAAATTAGGGTCAAATGAAAGATAAACTAGAACTGTGTCCAAAGGACACGGATGCCCCCCACCGACAACATATATATGGTATATAGTGAAAAAATCAACGAAGGGCCATAATTCTGTTAAATTTGGTCGCAGCAAAAATTCCTTTCTTTATTACCATCTACCCATTAAGGTTGTTAATCCCTGGAAGTTTAAGTAAAATCTGCCACCCCGTTTAAGAGGAGTTGCGTTCACAACATTTCTACATAGTATATAGTGAAACTAGAACTGTGTCCAAAGGACACGGATGCCCCCACTGTGCTGATGTGCTCGTAAACAAGAGCATGCATATCTGTATGTAAGATTTTTATGTGGAACTTTTTCATTCCTCTGTTTCATTTCTGTACATATCCCTAAAATGATCTACAGGTAATCTTATGTACATGCTTAATTAAATTACAAATGTAAAATTTATATGTTCAATTATTTATATCGTATACTAGTATAGTGAAAAAATCAACAAAGGGCCATAATTCTGTTAAATTTGGTCGCAGCAAAAATTCCTTCCTTTACTTCCATCTACACATTAAGGTTGTTCATCCCTGGAAGTTTAAGCAAAATCTGCCATCCCGTTTAAGAGGAGTTGCGTTCACAAGATTTCGGGACGTACGGACAGACGTACGGACGGACGGACGAACAAGTGCAACGCTATATGCCCCCCACAAAATCCTTTTGTATAGACCTAAAAGGTTTACACAACAAATTTAAAACAACAAAGTCATGAGTAAAAAAACAGAAGTTTTATTTTAATGAAGAAATGTCACTCAAAATAAGACATAGGGAATAAACATCTCTAGTCAAAACAAATCATTGTTCCTATGTGAACAACTGCATTAAGATATTTGATTGATTGATTGATTTTCTTTAGACCGGGCGGTCAAGGATAACCTCCGAAAGTGCAAGCACTTATTTCCAGTAGGGTCCTTACCTCAGCAGACTCTAGATACAGCTAGGAGTTACAAGGGAGTCTGGGAACAAGTCCATAGCTCTTATTGAATAGCACTGATACATGCGAGGATTAACTGGGTTTCTTACCAGTAAACCTCTAGGTATGTGGGAAACACTGAAAGTGTCTCTGAAAAATCCCAAGGGTGTTACCCAGGATCGAACCCGGAACCTCAGGAGAGACAGTCAGTGGTCTAACCAATTGAGCTATTGCGTAACCTATATATTTTAATAAAATGAGCCGCATCATGACAAAAGCAACATAATGTGTTTGCGCCCAGCATGGATCCAGACTGGGCATTCGTGCAGTCTGATCAGGATCCATGCTGTTCACTTACCAACCCTTTTACAAGTAGAGAAACTGAAAGCGAACAGCATGGATCCTGATCAGACTGCACAAAGTTAACGCACTATGTTGGTTTTGTCATGACGCGGCTCAAATGGTTTCAAGTACATGTATTACAGTTTTAAGTATTTAAGTATTAAATAATTTAAGTATTAAAACCAACTTCCTAGAGATGTTACAAATAAATCTGGAAGTTGACTTCATGTTTATAATACAATAACAAAAGTAATCTTAAAACAATGTAAAAGGAAATAACAGTTTAAGTATACATGTTTTAATTTCAACAGTATCACAAAAATAGTCATAAGCACCTTGTTACCAACAATTATATTTGTAATTCTGCAATAAAGAAGGCACTCACTGTTATCAATCTACTACAGACCGCAGTTAACACATAATTAAACACGAATCAAATAGTCAATTGTTTTCCACTTAATAGCAAGAAAGTCACGAGTGCCCTAAGATGCTTATTAAATATGTTTAAAAACAAGAGTGTCATGATATCCCTATATGGCATACCTAAAATCCATTGTTAAATATAGTCCTAACTCTTTCATACAGAAGTCGGCCATATTGGGACACGGCTGAAAATCTTATAAATAGATAACATCTAAACTAACACATCAATGGCAGAATTTGTTTGAACTGGGACATGTAACTACAAGTATAAATGTACAATAAAAAATTTGTTCTTTTATTACAACTGAAAACACATTATGTAATTTAAGTCCAGGACTGAAAAGAAATTATGTAAATTTTATGTCCCTATATGGCACACCTAAAATCCATTATCTAATACAGTCCAGGACTGAAAAAAACATTATGTAATTTAATGCCAGGACTGAAAACACATTATGTAATTTTAGTCCACAACTGAAAACACATTATGTAATTTTAGCCGGGACTGAAAACACTTCATGTAATTTTTAGTCCTGGATTGAAAACACATGTGATTTTTAGTCCAGGACTGAAAACATATTTTGTAATATGTGTATTTCACTATTAATGAAACCATTCAATAAAATGATAACATGGGTAAATGTACTATAATCTCAGTCAATGAAGTTAGATAACATAAATTTAGCTAATAGTTTAAAATACAGAACACAAGTCTTAACAAAAACAATATTGTAGTGATGATATGGTTTACAGCAAGACTGTTGTAAGTCCTTCTTTATTTCATATCATTTACTGCAATATTGCAGCCAACCCTTGATGTTTGAAACATTACACATGGGTTAAGCTGGAGATCATATATATGTTGATAGTGGTTAAACAAATTACAAAAGATTGCAAATAAAATATACATGTTCAACACTTTAACATTCAACAATCCATAATATTTTAGGTACATGTATTATAAGTTATAAAGGTTTTTATAGGTTATCTGGGCTGAAAGTCTGAAATTTGAAAAGACATCAGTTGCAAGATAACTGATCTGGGGCAGAGCAACCTTGCATTGAAAGTGGGCTAAACTGAAAAGGAAGGCCAAAGAGGACCTAACAAAAGAAACAAGAGGGCCATAATGGCCCTCAAATCTCTCACCTGTATATAGGCCCCTGGGCCAATGCCAATTTTAAACCAGGGACTTTAATTTGAACAAACTTGGTAGACAGCCATTAGAAGACGTTTCATGATAAATATCTAAGCTTTAACTCTTTGGGTTTTTTATAAGAAGATTTTTTTAAAGTTTTTACTATATACATATAGGAAAAACTAATGACCTCTGCCCCCCCCCCCCCGGGGAGGGGCCAATTTTGACCCCAGGGCTCTTATTTATTCAAACCTGGTAGACACTAACTAGAAAATATTTCCTGCTTAGTATCTAAACTCAATTTTTTTTTGGTTTTTTAAAGGAAGATTATTAAATTTTTACTCTATACAAAATAATGAAAATCAGTGACCCCCTAGGGCAGGCCAATTTTTACCCCAGGGCTTTTATTTGAACAAATGAAAGCCCTGGAGAGTTACACCAGTACTAGACTACCTTCCTACACGCTAAACTACCAAAGCATCTCCCGGGGAACGAACCCACGCCAAAGAGGTAACTGGATTAGGAGTCATTGACTCTTACCCCTCGACCACGGAGGCGGTAGTCCAGCCAATAATGATTGAAGACTGGCACTCTGGAATAATGTTGATTCTATTCATCTATATGTTCTATAAAGACAATCCTTAAATTATACCTATTAACACAGGTCTATTTCGTACATAGAAGAGATACACACGAAATGTCAAGTATAAAACTTTCCGTCAATTCTACACAAGAAGGGTCTTTTTTAAAAATTTTTTTAATCTTTTTGCACATTGCGCTTTGCAATTTAGATATACTGCAATTGTACATAGATTTTAATCTATTAGCATTTTATGCTGCATACATTTTATTGGCACATTAATTTCTATTACAGAATAAAGAACCACTAACATTTTAGCACTTTACTGATGCTTGCATACTGTTCACAAATTTTCCATCAACTTTTAAATATATGAGCCGCGTCATGACAAAACCAACATAATGGGTTTGCGACTAGCATGGATCCAGACCAGCCTGCGCATCCGCGCAGTCTGATCAGGATCCATGCTGTTCGCTATCAGTTTCTCTACTTGTTATGGAGTTGTAAGCGAACAGCATGGATCCTGATCAGACTGCGTGGATGTGCAGGCTGGTCTGGATCCATGCTGGTCGCAAATGCACCATGTTGGTTTTGTCATGACGCGGATCATTTATAGATCATACTGAATGAGTGAAAATTAATACTTAATTAAGTGAATATGTTGAATAAAATTATATTATGGCGAGCCTCTGGTTGTATTCAACAAGTTCAAAAAAATTAGTATTGAATCTACACGAATATAATATTCTATGTATCACATATTCAAAATAAGAATGATTTATATTTAAAACAAAGAGTCATTTTTCGTTGACGCACCTACAATGTGACATTTACTTTAATACAAATGATGTCACATCAGTGTTCTTACACTAGTGTAAAATCGTTTTTATTAAGTGGCTTTATTACACTTCTGGGTCATGTTTTACATGTACATGTATGTGATATATAATTATATATATATTTTTGCCTAATTATATAACCAATTATGAGGGATGTTTACAACTAACATAGATTTTTGTTGTTTTTTTTGTATGTTTTTGGTTTTACGTAACAGCGACACAGTATAGATCATATCGCAACATTCCAATTTTACAAAAGAAAATAATTATAATAATAAAGTTTACATGAACAATCAAATTTTGGCAGGAAAAATCGAACTCAATGAATCTAAAATTAGTTAAAATATACTTTTTATTAATTCTTAATTAATTTTTCCTAAAAAAAGATCAAATATAGTTCAAAAATAAATTGATATAAAAATAAATCATCCGAGCTCATGTAACAAGGGTATATAGCACATTTTCACGTGTATAAATACAAGTAAACCAGTCCAGATATATAGTGTGACAAAACTCAGTATTACTGAGTAAAAACTAACTGATATCATTTATATTTTGGCATTACAATTCCTGATAATTACATATTCAAACAGATCTATATCTAGTCCCTGGATTTATGTGTAAATACTGTTGTTGTTGTTTTTAAATTTCAGCAGCAAATTTAAGTTTTAACTAGTACAAAAAAAAATATGCAAAATGTCAATTAAGCAAATAATGTAAATCTTAGCCAAAAAAGAGCATTATATACATAGCATGTATAGATATATTATCAAATGTGTCAAAATATGGGGAAAAAAGAAAAAAAAGGAAAAAAAAGAAAAGTAAGAAAAACAACAAATTTTTTCTAGCTGTTAGTTACAGGGTAAAAATATGGTTACAAAAATAGCAAAATTATAATCATACACCATACTATATTGTATATTAATCAGTGACATTACATTGCATGAAAGGCATTGCATAGATTGTAGATATTTATACATTTTCATACACAATAATTTTTTTTTTTTTTTTTTTAAATTTTTTTTTTTTTTTTTTTTTTTTTTTTTAATACTGACTAATCATCTGCTGACATGCAACATGAAAATCTTAATTTCACAAAGCCAGTAGACCAGACTTGTCCATGAGATGACATATTTACAATAAATACAAGTACATCGGCCACATATGACATCCGTGGCAAAGTATTTTCATACATAATAAACTTTCTCATACAAAAATAAGCTTTGAAACAGACTATACATTTTCAAAACTATACTATTTGAAAAATAAAGTTTGAAACAGACTATACATTTGCAAAACTATACAATTTGAAAAATAAGCTTTGAAACAGACTATACATTTTCAAAACTATACTATTTGAAAATAAGTTTTGAAAGAGACTATACATTTTCAAAACTATACTATTTGAAAAATAAGCTTTGAAACAGACTATACATTTTTTTAAACTATACTATAATGAAATACATGATATATCTCAATTTCTACAAAAAAAATTATATGAGCCGCGTCACAACAAAACTAACATAGAGCGTTTGCGACCAGCATGGATCCAGACCAGACTGCGCGGATGCTGGTCACAAACATACTATATTGGTTTTGTCGTGACGCGACTCATATAAAGTACAACCTAACTGTAATAACCAAAAGGAAAAAATAATAAATTTACAATACATTTAATCTCTATATAATAAAGCCACCCCATGTTTTGTAAAATAACTGCATGATTCCATCTGCATTTCAATTTCCTTTAACATACGTTCATATAATTTAAATTCAAAACCTTATTAATATATTATTTATATAGATAAAACGTGATTGGACTTTCATTTCATTTAAAATGTGATTTGAGTAAACAAGACCAAATTAATCTTTTTGTCATTCTTTTGCCTGTGTATTCCTTTAAACATTCACTATACCACTGTTACAATTCTTCTCTTCTCATTGTCTATTCTTATCATTACCATACAATGCATATATAACCCAATACACTTCATCAATAATATAAACAAGGTGTTCCGGAGCCTTGAGCATTTCACCTTGTATACTATACTGTAGATCCAGCAATATTTTAATACAGGTAGAATCTCCGAGGCAAGCTTGAACAATGACTGGATCACTGACATCTTTCCCTTTAATACCCTTATACAGCTGAAATAAAAATAATATAGCTGAATTATTTCATCAATGTTATATCTCAATGATTTTACAGTATACAGCTTTATGTAATGAAATATTTTCATAAAAACTAAAAAAAATTGTAAATAAATGTCACTTCTGTCATTGTTGGATACCCATGGTTGATAAACATGTATCATAACTTGTTATCATCTGTGGGTAATTGAATCAAATTGCCTCCATCTAAAGCAACAGATGCATAAAATGTCGACCAATAAAATCGTGTTTACCAAATGTTGTTTGAGAACTAGAGTTTTGATTGGTTTAATCGCCTCATGAAATTGTGAGGTAACCAATGAAATTTATATCACACATATAAGTAAAATGGTTACTATAAATAAATTCATATAACACATATGTGTAAAGTGGCTACTATAAATAAATTTATGTCAAACATATGTATAAAGTGGCTACTATAAATAAATTTATACTACACATATGTGTCAAGTGGCTACTATAAATAAATTTATATAACACATATGTGTAAAGTGGCTACTATAAATAAATTTATACTACACATATGTGTCAAGTGGCTACTATAAATAAATTCATATAACACATATGTGTAAGGTGGCTACTATAAATAAATTTATGTCAAACATATGTATAAAGTGGCTACTATAAATAAATTTATACTACACATATGTGTCAAGTGGCTACTATAAATAAATTGATATCACACATATGTGTAAAGTGGCTACTATAAATAAATTTATGTCACACATATGTGTAAAGTGGCAACTATAATTAAATTTATGTCACACATATGTGTAAAATGGCTACTATAAATAAATTTATGTCACACATATGTGTAAAGTGGCTACTATAAATAAATTTATATAACACATATGTGTAAGTGGCTACTATAAATAAATTTTATTTATTACATGCTTTTCGGTGGTTTATAGAAATATATCAGTGATATAAAACTGGTAATTTCACTGTTTGAAACAGTGAAATTACCACTTTGATAATTTCACTGTTTTGAATTTAAGCCCCTTACGTTGTTTCAGTGAAATACCAGCGTACACAGTACTGGGTACCATCTTAATGACGCGACGTTGTAAATGACTTCACATTGTATTATTATTTGGCGCACTTTTCATTCAGTATTAGGTTTAATGTCTTTTTAAAACGTTCTTTGCATGTAATAAAAAGAAAATTTGTTTAATTTAGTGTAAGATCGAAATATATTTCACCTTGTGAACACCAAAAGTTCATATTTCACGAGTGGCGCAGCCACTCGTGAAATATACCTTTTGGTGCTCACTCGGTGAAATGTATTCTGATCTTACACTGAACTAAACAAATATCCTCTATATAACACATATGTGTAAAGTGGGGACAGTATAAATAAACATATACACATAATGTTTATATATTGCCAACTATAAATCAAATGTATATCACATTCAAATGTATAGAGAATGAAAGTAAAACAAAATACCACTGTAAGCATGGCGTCAGCTGTTTGTGGCGAAAATTGTTTAATCAGGTCAAACATGTCATCATCCAACATACTTGCGGCATCGAAATATTCCTCAATAGCGTGAAACATCGTGCTTGGTTTGTCCGAGTGAGACAAATGGCCATCCTATATTAGACACAGAATCTATTGTACATATGAGCCGCGTCATGACAAAACCAACATAGTGCGTTTGCGACCAGCATGGATCCAGACCAGCCTGCGCATCCGCGCAGTCTGATCAGGATCCATGCTATTCGCTATCAGTTTCTCTACTTGTAAAAGGAGTTTGTAAGCGAACAGCAGGGATCCTGATCAGACTGCGCTGATGCGCAGGCTGGTCTGGATCCATGCTGGTCGCAAACGCACTATGTTGGTTTTGTCATGACTACACAGATGCGCAGGCTGGTCTGGATTCATGCTGGTCGCAAACGCATTACATTGGTTTTGTCGTGACGCGGCTCATATCTTATCTCTATTTTTGTGCGTGCGAGATCACATACAATTCTTGCAATATCAGACAAGATTTTTCTACATATAACACTGCTCTTAGCAAGTTACATCTTATAGACATCTTGTGCAAGACAAGTCAACTGTTATGCGCTTTTAATCGCCTCATTCCTGCTCACCTTTGATGAATGAATTACATGTGAAGTCATTTCTCTGTTGTGAATAAAGTCATCAATTTATATACTACAATAAAAAAAGTCTTTTTATGACATTATTGGTATTGGTACTTTCTCTCAAGAAGAAAAATTATTTTTCCGTAACAAACAAGAAAAAGAATCAAACACTGATGGGATAAATATGATTAGCTCTCTGGAAGCAAAAACAGTTACCCTTAAGCTAAATATTTCAGTCTGTACAAGCAGCCGATGTCAGATGCTAACCATCTGAATAATTCCAGGCTGAGACCTCAAATAGTGTCAGTGCTGGTTGGTCCAATTAGTAAAATCAACAACTATCAAAAGTAAACTGCATGCAATGTATATAAGGTTTAAACAAGATCACTACATCTATTTACACAAACAAACAGTGGATAAACAAAATCACCCAGTCATGTAAGCCTCTAAAATTCAACGTACACTGTATCGTGCAATTACAAGCACACGCTATCACTGGTCACTGTTCTTTTCTTAGAGGCCTATATATTTCCTTGTGGAAACAGGAAGTTAACTTGTTTATCCACTGTGAAATGGTACAGGAAGTTAACTTGTTTATCCACTGTGAAATGATACAGGAAGTTAACTTGTTTATCCACTGTGAAATGGTACAGGAAGTTAACTTGTTTATCCACTGTGAAATGGTACAGGAAGTTAACTTGTTTATCCACTGTGAAATGGTACAGGAAGTAAACTTGTTTATCCATTGTAAAATGATACAGGAAGTTAACTTGTTTATCCACTGTGAAATGGAAACAGGAAGTTAACTTGTTTATCCACAGTGAAATGGTACAGGAAGTTAACTTGTTTATCCACTGTGAAATGGTACAGGAAGTTAACTTGTTTATCCACAGTAAAATGGTACAGGAAGTTAACTTGTTTATGCACAGTGAAATGGTACAGATAGTTAACTTGTTTATCCACAGTAAAATGGTATAGGAAGTTAACTTGTTTATGCACAGTGAAAATGTACAGGAAGTTAACTTGTTTATCCACTGTGAAATGGTACAAGAAGTTAACTTGTCTATCCACTGTGAAATGGTACAGGAAGTTAACTTGTTTATCCACAGTGAAATGGTACAGGAAGTTAACTTGTATATCCACAGTGAAATGATACAGGAAGTTAACTAAACTTGTTTATCCACAGTGAAATGGTACAGGAAGTTAACTTGTTTATCCACAGTGAAATGGTAGGACAAAAAAAGTGAAATTCGAGATCTAATCAAATGGGTTTTGTTTGTCAAAGAAAACGAAAGTATCATAGAAGAGTCAACTCACTTTTACTTGGAAGCCAGCAAATTTCAGGATTTCAGTCCAGGATTCATCTGATGATAGAAATTTCCCTTTTAGGTCATCCATCTTGAATTGAAGTTGTTTACCTCTGCCAACATCATCCAACTAAAGTCAAAACATATGTTAACATATTTTAAAACTAGAAATGTGTCCATAGGACATGGATGCCCCCACACGCCACTGTTCTGTCAATCTTATGACTCTAGGTCAAATATTTTTTGGACTACATGTGCCACAAGTTGAAAACTAAAAATCAGCAAAGGGCCATAATTCTGTTAAATTTGGTCGCAGCCAAAATTCCTTCCTTTACTACCATCTACACATTAAGGTTGTTCATCCCTAGAAGTTTAAGCAAAATGTGCCATCCGGTTTAAGAGGAGTTGCGTTCAAACAATTTCTACATAGTATATAGTGAAAAAATCAACAAAGGGCCATAATTCTGTTAAATTTGGTCGCAGCAAAAATTCCTTCCTTTACTACCATCTAAACATTAAGGTTGTTCATCCCTGGAAGTTTAAGCAAAATGTACCATCCGGTTTAAGAGGAGTTGCGTTCACAAAATTTCTACTTAGTATATAGTGAAAAAATCAACAAAGGGCCATAATTCTGTTAAATTTGGTCGCAGCAAAAATTCCTTCCTTTACTACCATCTACACATTAAGGTTGTTCATCCCTGGAAGTTTAAGCAAAATCTGTCATCCGGTTAAAGAGGAGTTGCGTTCACAAGATTTCGGGACGTACGGACAGACGGACGGCCGTCGGGCCGTCATTGGAATAAGGGGCCATTTCTTTTGTTATTTTCTATTGTTACGGAATGAACTCTATTGTTCTCTTTTGTTCTGTTTACAGTTAGATGGCCCCCTATCCCTATTCGGTAGTGCGGACAGACATACGGACGGACAAGTGCAACGCTATATGCTCCCACTCTGTGGGAGGCATAAAAAAAAGAGCAGACATTGGAATAGTAATTTTGATAATTTATATAAATGGTAAAACTGAAAATAATTAACCCTTTTTATGGACAGTACTGATAAGTGCAAGCTACTGTCCACAACATCCAGCACTGACTTAAGCCAAATTACATAACATAACATAATAGTGCAATGGATTCAAAAAGAATGAGTAGTTATGTTTATAACCTCTGCTAATGCCCCATTGACTTACTTGTTTTGGGTGTAAGTGACATTTATATAATGTAACAGAGTCACATGATATTTTGAGCTACTGATATTACCAAATGGTCCGGATGTGCATACATGTTGCTGAGTTCTAGTTACATTGTATTATGTTTGAAATGTCTATCTTGTATATTGAAATTTATCCGGTATAATAAAATAAATATCACATCATAAAGAGAAAGATAAAACAAAATGTTCATTTTTTACAAGACGATATCAACCCTAGCTCACATCTTAGTTAGTTAACATCACTTATCATAGAACATTTTATTCTACATTATATCACCTTCAGAGGTATCCGATGTTTATTTTATTATGCTAGGTATGATATATTTTCTAAAACATTTTACATTAGTTTAAACAATATTTATTTCCAGAATTTACAAGACATAAATATACATTACAAACAGAATACATTGTATGATAAAATATATGAAAGACTGATGATATAAGTTAAAGATTTACAATGCTAAAGAATTTTTAACTTAATTAAATTAGGAAGAGGATTTGAAAACAAGTCTAAGACTTATGTAAATTCATTTCCTCAGTGGGTTGGAAAGGATGACGGCTGACTGGTCAAAATCATATGTAATGTTTTGAGATTTTGAAAAGTGAAAAAAGGGTTCCAGTGTGGAACTGAGTTGTTTGCTACCGATAAAACAGTTAACTTAGTATAATGTATAAAACCTGCTTATGAAGTCGTTCTGTAACATGCGCAAGCACTAAGAAGTGAAACGTTTGGTGGCGACAATGTATTTTTGGACGCAACTAAAGATATTTGTGTTATGTTCAAAGTTGAGATGTTCAGAGCCATATAGTAAATTTTGAACAGTTAAAGGACACTGAACATTTTACTTGACATTGTACTAGATGAAGACTTGTGATTTTCTAAACAAAATATTTTCAGACACATGCCAGGGTAATTCTAATTTGTAAGTCCATTTTAAAAACACATGAGGATAATTCTGTAATGTATCATAGTGATTGAAGTTACATGTAGTTATGAATTGTTGATACAGGCAAAGTCATGTAAAGTATTATTTTTAGGGCCAGGAATTTATTCGAATATTCAAAACACTACCGAATATTTGAATGTTTTACTACATTATGGATAAATATTGGTACAAATTGTTTTTAGTTGAATATTCGAATATATTCGAACATAGAAAACAAATATTTGAGCATCTAATACCTTATTCATTCCCTGCCCTAATTATTCTATACATGTTTGTATTTATAAATAATTAATTAACTAATCTTTAATTCAGATACTTACAAGGTCTGAGAGAACAACCATATCTCGTGGCACAGACATCAACTGTAATAACAAGCTATTTAACTTGGTTCTGTCAGCTGCTGTCAGTTCAAACAGAGGGGCAAAAACTTTCTTTGGATAGTCCAAGTCAATTTCTACAAGAAAATGTCATATAATCATTCAATTATTTTATCCGAGTAACAAATTTAATTAAGATTCTTTAGACCTCATAATGTTAAATTAAATTATTATTTCAAAATGGGTGGAAAATCCAGCGAACACATTCAAAAAAGCCAGTATCTTATATAATGGACACGTCCATTATTAAAGGCCTAGTATAAATCAGGAATGTTTTTATTTCTATTTCTTAAAAGCCTTTTTTTTTGTCTCCTCCTATAGTTTTCTCAAAATTATTCATTAGACAATTATCTGTACCATCTTTTGCTTTGTCCTTTTTGGCAATTATTATACTATATTAGTGATTATGTATTTTGTATGCAAGTAAAAATACTACTTTGTTTAAATCTAAGCTACCTTTATGACAAATAATTTCACATTCAGGGCTACTTTATTCAGGTGAAAATCATCTAACTTGCTCTTAAACCATTCTTTAAACATTATAAAACTCATGTCTGCCCTTTCTAAAGCATTAAAAATCTATTGGTTTCTGGGGCATAATGGGCCTTTAACTGAAAATAGTAAATTTGACGAATTATATAAGTTCTGTTTACAGTGAATAAGCATATTTATAGATTAAGTTACCAATCTGTTTCTTCATCTCAGCCCCCGCATCAGTGTTTACCACGTCACCAGGTAAGGCATCGACCTCGTCATACCCAATCCTGTCCCTGAACCCTCCATAACGTCCTGTTATAGTAAAAAATACTTTAACTTTTAACCTACCAAATATCTTAAACGGACAAGTCCAGCTTTGAATTTGGAACAGTCCATTCATAGTTATAGTGATTTCAATATTAAAATAAACAAGAGGGCCCTGAGGTCGCTCACCTGTATATAGGCCGCCCCAACCCCCAGGGCTTTTATTTGCACAAACTTGGAAGACACCCATAAGAAAATGTTTCATGCTAAACATCTAAGCTCTAGCTCATTGGGCTATTTAAAAGAAGATTTTTTTAAAGTTTTTACTATACACATATAGTTAAAAACAATGACACGCCTGGGGCCGGGCCAGTTATGACCCCAGGGCTTTTTATTTGAACAAACTTTGTAGACACTTACTAGAATATGTTTCATGCTTAATATCTAAAACTCTAGCTATTTGGGTTTTTTCAAAGAAGATTTTAAGTTTTTGCTATACACATATAAGGAAAATCAATGACCCCGGGGCAGGGCCAATTTTGACCCAGGGTCTTTTATTTGAACAAACTTTGTAGACACTCACTAAAAGATGTTTCATGCTTAATATCTTAACTCTAGCTATTTGGGTTTTTTCAAAAAAGATTTTTTAAGTTTTGCTATACACATATAAGGAAAATCAATGACCCCCGGGGCGGGGCCAATTTTGACCCCATGGCTTTTATTTAAACAAACTTGGTAGACACCTATTAGAACAAGTTTGATGCTAAGTATCTTAACCATAGCTCTTTGAGTTCTTTAAAAGAAGATTTTTTAAGTTTTTACTATATGCATATATAGGGCAAATCAATGACCCCCAGGGAGGGGTCAATTTTGACCCCAGGGCTTTTATTTGAACAAACTTGGTAGACACTTATTAGAACATGTTTCATGCTAAATATCTTAGCTCTAACTCTTTTGGTTCTTTAAAAGAAGATTTTTTAAGTTTTTACTATATGCATATAGGGAAAATCAATGACCCCCTGGGGCGGGGCCAATTTTTGACCCCAGGGCTTTTCTTTGAACAAACTTGATAGACACCTATTAGAACATGTTTGATGCTCAATATCTTAGCCATAGCTCTTTGAGTTCTTTAAAAGAAGATTTTTTAAGTTTTCACTATATGCATATAGGGAAAATCAATGACCCCCCGGGGCGGGGCCAATTTTGACCCCAGGGCTTTTATTTGAACAAACTTGGTAGACACTCACTAGAAGATGTTTCATGCCAAATATCTAAGCTCTAGCTCTTATGGTTTTTTAAAAGAAGATATTTAAAGTTTTTTCTTTCGGTTGCCATGGCAACCAGAGTTCTGCATGGAATTAAATTCTTTGAACAATTTTTAAAGGTGACCACCAAAGGAACATTCCTGTGAAGTTTGGATGAAATTGGCCTTGTGGTTTATGAGGAGATGTCATTTAAAGTAAAAGTTTACGGACGACGGACGGACGACGGACGCCGGACGTAAAGCGATCACAAAAGCTCACCCTGTTACTTTGACAGGTGAGCTAACAAAAAATTAAGCCACAAACAGTACAGAGCTTAGTCTGACTGCATGGGCGTTAAGAACGGCTCTATACCGGAAAAGTGCAAATAACTTTTCAGGGTTAGTTAATAATGTACTATATATAACACAGCAGCTTATACTGTGAATTTACTAAATTTTGTGGGCATTACATTTTTGTGGTTTTATCACAAAGAACAATTTTGTGGGTTCTTAAATTTGTGGATTGTTTATATTTGCAAAATGTAAATAATGTGATGGAAAATAATAAAAATGAAATGTAATTTCAATGGATCTTAAATTCGTGGATTGACCTATCAACAAATAATATTTCTATTATTGGTTGATAACTTTCCAGCATTAATAGAGAAAGACGAGTGTAGGACAAAAGCCCTCCCTTTAAAAAGTGACAAGGCGGACAAAAGCCCTTCCATTAAAATGACTTGGCAGACAAAAGCCCTCCCATGAAAATAATAGGGTGGACTAAAACCCTCCCGCAGCAAATACATATATGTACCTTGAATAGTTTATTATTTTCTTTTCAATACACTCAACATATTTAAATTGTAATCATGAATATTTTTGTTTTCCATTGGCATAACCATGTCTGTATGAGCTTGAGCACATTCCTGAGAGGCATCAGAATAATTAGTGCTATCTGTAAGTTCATATTTATTCACATAGATATGAAGGATTACTCCTATGTGAAGTTAATATTAATAGAGAGATAATTGATGAAAAGAAGTTAAAATTATCTAACATAAAAGTTAAAGACATTTATAATGTGCCTTGTAATGAGTCAATTATTTTTAAAAGTGACTTTATTTTTAACAACATTCATGAAAAGTTACCTCGTTAAACATTTCAGGAAGGTATATTCAGAATAAAAGGTGGTTCTAGCTCATACACATACTTAGGCCAATTAAAAACAACAAGATTATGTAATAATTTTAATATGTTGATTGCATTGAAAAAAAAAACACAGGTATTCAACATACATATTTATTTTAGTTACGGGAGGGCTTTTGTCCACCTTGTTAATTTCATGGGAGGGCTTTTGTCCGCCCAGTCATTTTCATGGGAGGGCTTTTCTCCGCCCTATATTTTCACGGGAGGGCTTTGTCCGCCCTGTCATTTTGACAGGAGGGCTCTTGTCTGCCTTGTCATTTTTTGACGGGAGGGCTTTTGTCCGCAAGGGCTTTTGTCCGTTTCCCACCCACAGCTCATGTTACACACAAACCATAAAGATCAGAATTATTCTGACCTGTATTTTATTTATATTGCTTTGTGAAACTTACTGTGATCATATTAAGCTATTATACTTTAGTAAATATTTAAATTGATACATACTACTCATTTTGGAATAACAAGCAAATTCGTTGAATTTATATCCCCCGCCGAGTACTGGTTATTATTAACACAACAACTGAAGACATAAGGCTATGCAACAGACCAGAACCATTTGATCAACTTTGGCAGGGGACCACCCTAGGATCATTCCTGTAAAGTTTGGTTGCTGTGCAGTCATTTGTTTCTGAGGAGATGTTGTTTAAAGAAATTGCTGACGACGCATGACGACGGACGGTGGGGGATCACAATAGCTCACCTAGATGTAAAAACATCTTAATCTCCAGACTTCATTATTCGTAATTTAGTGATGTTGATCATTATTCCTGTAAAGTTGGTTGATTCTACTCAAGCACTCAAGGATCAAATAACAACATAATGAAACAGTTTTTACTAAGTCAAGGGAAATAACTCTACAAATACTGGATAAATCCACAAGCGAAACCCCAGGAACAAACTAAATATGCTGAGCAACTTTCCAATAAGGTTAAATGACTCTATGTCAAATCCTTTTTGAGTTACATGCGACACATGTTGAAAATTGCAAACATTTTCTTAGTCAAGGGCAATAACTCTAAAAATACTAAATAAATCCAGACGAAAATACCCAGGTGCACAACTACACATGCTGATCAACATTCCTGTAAAGTATCATGACTTTAGGTCAAATACTTTTGAGTTACATGTGACACAAGTTGAAAATTGCAAAATTTTACTAAGTCAAGGGCAATAACTCTAAAAATAGTAAAAATATCCAGACGAAAATACCCAGGTGCACAACTACACATACTGATCAACATTCCTGTAAAGTGTCATGACTCTAGGTCAAACACTTTTTGAGTTACATGCGACACAAGTTGAAAATTACAAAATTTTACTAAGTCAAGGGCAATAACTCTAAAAATGCTAAAAATATCCAGATGAAAATACCCAGGTACACAACTACACATACTGATCAACATTCCTGTAAAGTTTCATGACTCTAGGTCAAATACTTTTTGAGTTACATGCGACACAAGTTGAAAATTACAAAATTTTACTAAGTCAAGGGCAATAACTCTAAAAATACTAAAAATATCCAGAAGAAAATACCCAGGTGCACAACTTCACATGCTGATGAACATTCCCATAAAGTTTCGTTGAATTCCAGCCATTAGTTGCAGAGAACTACTCCGGAAACGAAATTCGGACGTTTTACCAAGTCAAGGGCAATAACTCTAAAAATACTAAAAATATCCAGACGAAAATACCCAGGTGCACAACTTCACATGCTGATCAACATTCCCATAAAGTTTCGTTGAATTCCAGCCATTAGTTGCAGAGAACTACTCCGGAAACGAAATTCGGACGGACGGATGGACGGACGGACAGACGGACGGACGGACGGAAGGACGGAAGGACGGACGGACAACGCCAAAACTATATCCCCCTCCCGATTCCATCGGCGGGGGATAAAAATGCAAATTTCAATTATATTGTACTTAAAATAATCATCACTTTTAAGATCATGTTGAATATTTTATTCAGCTTTTAATAGTTAAGAAGCATTCCTAAAATTTTACCATTTAAAACTTATTTCAAATTAAATTTGAATACATATGTTACTTCAAGTCTTTTAAGTTAACATGACATGTTTAATTTGTAACCAAAATCCAAGGAGAGATTTTGATATAACAGTTTTCATCTTGATCTTATCCCTGGTTTGAAATCATCTGTTTAACCCTTAAAGTGCTGGAACTGAAAGCCTTAAGCCTTTACCACCAGCATAGAGCCAGGCCAACCTGCACATCCGTGCAGTCTGACCAGGCTCTATACTGTTGGCTGACAAACTTTACATATTCAAATTGATATCCCTAAAATTGATAATGGACAGTACCAAAAAATGGAAATGGGACAGGTCCATTTAAAATATTCAGCATGTTACTAAGGGTTAACACTTGACATAGAGTGGTTTGTCACAGCAAACATAGTCTATAGGTAGAAAGCCAAACCTACCATTACATAGCTACATCATATTCATTAGATACATTTCAATATGATTTCGGAGAATTCAATTCTACCAGCAGTGAGAGGTGAATTATCCAGCTTCCGGATCTATGATCTATAAAAAGTCTCTCAAATCAAGCATTTTGTAACACTAATGAAACTATTCAGAAAGTAAACTTTCAAAGCTCATGGTAGAGCCGAAACTTCAGAAGCCCTTACTTTCATTACTACCTCAATGACTATCATACACACAATTAGGAACACCGCCCTTCAGTAAGCTAGCTGGATTCTTACTTACATGAAAAGAAACTCTCAGGCAAGACTCAAACCCAAATAGTTTATGCAAGCACTATCTCATTTAAATGAAAAGAAACTCTCAGGCAAGACTTAACCCAAAAAACTTAAGCAAGCACTAACTCACTTACACAAAAAGAAACTCTCAGGCAAGATTCAAACCCAAATACCTTTTGCAAGCACTAACTCACTTACATGAAAAGAAACTCTGAGGCAAGACTCAAACCCAAATACCTTTAGCAAGCTAGCAGGATTCTTACTTACACGAAAAAAAAATACTCAGGCAAGACTCAAACCCAAATACCTTAAGCAAGCTAGCTGGATTCTGACTTACATGAAAAGAAACTCTCAGGCAAGATTCAAACCCGAATACCTTTAGCAAGCTAGCAGGATTCTTACTTACACGAAAAAAAATACTCAGGCAAGACTCAAACCCAAACACCTTTAGCAAGCTAGCCGGATTCTTACTTACATGAAAAGAAACTCTCAGGCAAGATTCAAACCCAAATACCTTTAGCAAGCTAGCTGGATAGCTTACTTACATGAAAAGAAACTCTCAGCCAAATACCTTTAGCAAGCACTAACTCCAGCGCTCCAGTTCTCTTATCAACGTTCAGCTCATGTACATTAAATGCCACTGGTGTTAGTGGAGCGAGGCCGATGTCACGATCTCTTTCAGACGTAAAACCTGAAGAGACTTCAGCACCTTTTATAAACTGAAAATATAATTATCATAATTTTATGAGCCGTACCATGACAAAACCAACATAATGCGTTTGCAACCAGCTTGGATCTAGACCAGCCTGCACATCCGCACAGTCGGATCAGGATCCCTGCTGTTCGCTTACAAACCATATTAGAAGTAGAGAAACTGATAGCGAACAGCATGGATCCTGATCAGACTGTGCGGATGTGCAGGCTGGTCTGGATCCATGCTGGTCACAAACACACTACGTGTATGTTGGTTTTGTCATGGCACGGCTCATATCCTTATTTAAATCTTAGCTGGAATTGAATGTCTAAACAACCAAGCCATGGCTTCCCTCAATCATGTTACATTAAAGCTGTCATTGCAAAGCATATTAATGATACATCGATATTCGATGACAAGTATCTGCGATATATCGATGATTACTCCTAATTTGTTGTATATAATTCACTTTCACATCTGTTTAAATGATTTTAGTAAAATACATGCTCTGTTCATACAAATATGTTGTGTTTATAAATGTCCTAGTTTGTATGATTTGTTTGACAATATTTGTCATCACTGCTATGAAATATGTCCATTATTTAACAACAGCTTAGTGTTAGACATGGTCACCTGCTTTTTTATTTGTTTTGTTTGAATGTTTATAATTTATAGACATTTGGATAATTAATGAAAGTATCAATCTTTCGAATGTGTATCAATTATTGATCACCAGAATGATATGAATGATACATCCATATAGTGTTAACCCTAACCCTTTATCGATGACAGCTCTATGAATACAATGGAGGGTCAATTTTCCAAATAGATTTACAGCTACACTAATCTAGACTTACCGTACTTACAGACATTAGGTGATTAGGGATAAGTTAATTTTTAATTTGAATGTTTTATGCTTACTATTGTCTTTCATCAATTAAAACAGCAATAATCATTTTTATGGCGCTCTATGTCAAAACCATCAGTATCTACTGGTAAGGACCACAACAGAAATAAGAGAATAAGCTCTCTTTCTGAGTGTTATCTTAGGTATGATGTCTTTGATGTGGTCTTATTTTTTATACATATTAAATTGTTTTTATTGTTTCAACATATATTGGAAATGTTTTACCAAATATATATATCTATCTAAGTCTTGCGCAATAAAACAGCTGTCAATCTGGCAATATTAGGTGTTTTTGCCAATTTCTCAAATTTTTCAAAATGCCACATAATCCCCCCCCTTCCTAATCAGGGTCAAAATACCATTTTTTGGGAAGGGGCCTCAGCCTTTTTCTTGGGAAAAATATGTGTGATTTTGGCATACTTTAAGATAAGGGGTCTCAAATTTAACACAAACTTTTAACAAGTTCTTCATAGGAGAAAAGCAAAAAGCACTGGGAAATACTAATAAATCAGTAAAAGACGTTAATTCAACATCATCATTTCATTTTGTTCTAAATGGAAATTTAAAAAGACTGGAGAATATTTGGGGACCAAACTGGGGGAAAAAAGAGGTTAGTTTGGTTGGGGAAGCAGCCTATATTCGGCCTCTACAAAGAAGGGTTTTTTGGTCCTGCTTATCAACATGGTAAAGTACTATACCGAGGCTTTAAGGCTTGCTTCTGTATCAATATCTGTTTCTCTGTGTATAGTGCCACCATTTTTAAGACAAGCAACACCAGTTATCAAACATAATGATTTATGACTGTCCATCTGTATCTGACGTATATAAGGATGATCCATGTTGATATTTCTGAAAAAAAAAAGATAAAAAGAAAAATTTATGATTAATTGCATATCATGTCTATTAAAGGCCCATTATGCCTCAGAAATGCTTTTGTTTTTATTTCTCTAAAGCTTTTTAATGTTGATGTCCTTTTACAGTATACAAAATTTAGTTACTCATTGGCCAATAAATGGAACCATCTTTTTCAACAGTGGCTTTTTTAGAGACCCGCTTCTTGGTAATAAGTACAGTTACTGTGAATTTGTATTTTGTATGGAAGTCAAAATACTACTTTGTTTACATTTTCTACCTTACCTTTTATGGCAAATTTTTTCACATTTATGGCTACTTTATCCAGGTAACAAGCATCTAAAATTCTCTAATACTATTATTTTAGCATTATAAAATTCATATTTGACCTTTCTAAAGAAGTAAAAAATTATCTGTTTCTGGGGCATAATGTGCCTTTAAACATTAAACAAGGTAACTCTTGTATAGTTCACTTATCTTGCTTTAAATCTGAATTTGTGTTCATACTTACAGACCATACACAACTTTTCGTGAATAGCACAGAAATGTGACAATAAATTTATGTTATCCTAAACTTTATCAAATGCATTCCCCCCCCCCCGGTACAAACCATCTTTTTATCATTAGAGCTACATGATGCATTACTGCTCACAATCTAGTCATCAATATGTCAGACTTGTTATCAATATATTAACCAGGTTAAAATTGTAAATGTTTGTTTGTATCCAAGGATTACATTGGTAAAAACCCACATTTGCTGGGTTCCTGAGTATTTCTATTAAAGGGACTCCACTGAGGTTTAAAAGCCTAAAAACATAACATTAGAATTTCTTACATTAATGAACTGGGGTGCTTTAAACAGAAATATATGCAAAGATAGGTAAGAATTATACTTTAAAATAAATCGAAAATCGTAGTTTTATGTTTTTCTTAGCCTAATTTGAGTGAAAACTGTTTAAACACTTTTCATTTTGGGTAATTTTTTTACAATTTGAATAATTATTTTGAAAAAAAAATGAAGTGCGCGAATGATCTGAAAGTTTGCACAAAGATTCGTGGTCTACACCTACATCAAATGGTACATTTATCTGGAAAAAAATATTTTTAGTCCCATCATGTCAAAAAACCTAAGTGGAGTCCCTTTAAGGTTTCATAATACTTGAGTTATGAAAACTTCTCCTAATGTCATGAAATTAAAAAAATTCCTAATTTAAATGTTTAATTCTGTTTAATAAGCCAGAGCTAGGTGGGCATTGACAGTAGCATTTGTGACATTTTATATATTAAAGCCATGTCATTTAGCCAGTGGAGCCAAGATATTATAAAAGTACAGACCAATAACCAAGATATCATACCATATTCAGTGCTTTTGCAGGTGCACTTGCCAGTGCTTACCTTTTTGACAATTCGGAGAGAAGTTCAGGTTCTTTTACTTCATATTTTGTTACCTCACCAAACTTGATGTTAAGAGAGATTGTGTCTGAAGCCTCCAATTCAGCATCTGTAATACAAACATAAAATCTGTAATACAAAGGTAAACCTGTAATATAAAGATACAATCTGTAATATATAGACAAATCTGTATTACCAAGATACAAGAGGGCCATGATGGCCCTGAGGTCGCTCACCTGTATTTAGGCCCCCGGAGCGGGGCTAGTTTAAACCCCAGGGCTTTCATTTGAACAAACTTGGAAGACACTCATTAGAAGATGTTTCATGATGTTAAGTTTTTACTACACACATATAATGAAAAACAATGACCTCCCCCCCCCCCCTTTTGGCAGGGCCAATTTTAACCCAAGGGCTTTTATTTGAACAAACTTGGTAGACACCCACAAAAAGATGTTTCCTGCAATCTAACCTCTAGCTCATTGGGATTTTTAAAAGAAGATTTTTTAAGTTTTTACTACACACATATAGTTAAAAACAATGACACCTCTGGGGCGGGGCCAGTTTTAGCCCCAGGGCTGTTATTTGAACAAACTTTGTAGACACTTACTAGAAGATGTTTCATGCTTAATATCTAAACTCTAGCTATTTGGGTGTTTTCAAGAAGAGTTTTAAGTTTTTGCCATACACACATAAGGAAAATCAATGACCCCCAGGGCGGGGCCAATTTTGACCCCAGGGCTTTTATTTGAACAACTTTTGTAGACACTCACTAGAAGATGTTTCATGCTTAATATCTAAACTCTAGCTATTTGGGTTTTTTCAAAGAAGATTTTTTAAGTTTTTGCTATACACATTTAAGGAAAATCAATGACCCCCGACGCCGGGCCAATTTTGACCCCAGGGCTTTTACTTGAACAAACTTTGTAGACACCCATTAGCACATGTTTATGCTAAATATCTTAGCTCTAGCTTTTTGGGTTCTTTAAAAGAAGATTTTTTAAGTTTTTACTATATGCATATAGGGAAAATCAATGACCCCCTGGGGCGGGGCCAATTTTGACCCCAGGGCTTTTATTTGAACAAAATTGGTAGACACTTATTAGAAGATGTTTCATGTTCAATATCTTAGCTCTAGCTCTATGGGTTCTTTAAAAGAAGATTTTTTAAGTTTTTACTATATGCATATAGGGAAAATCAATGACCCCCTGGGGCAGGGTCAATTTTGACCCTAGGGCTTTTATTTGAACAAACTTTGTAGACACCCATTAGAACATGTTTCATGCTAAATATCTTAGCTCTAGCTCTTTGGGTTCTTTAAAAGAAGATTTTTTAAGTTTTTACTATATGGATATAGGGAAAATCAATGACCCCCTGGGGCCGGGCCAATTTTGACCGAAGGGCTTTTATTTGAACAAAATTGGTAGACACTTATTAGAAGATGTTTCATGCTATATATCTTAGCTCTAGCTCTATGGGTTCTTTAAAAGAAGATTTTTTAATTTTTTTACTATATGCATATAGGGAAAATCAATGCCCCCCTGGGGCGGGGCCAATTTTGACCCCAGGGCTTTTATTTGAACAAACTTGGTAGACACTTACTAGAAGATGTTTCATGCCAAATATCTAAGCTCTAGCTCTTTGGGCTTTTTAACAGAAGATATTTAAAGTTTTTTCTTTCGGTTGCCATGGCAACCAGAGTTCTGCATGGAATTAAATTCTTTGAACAATTTTTAAAGGTGACCACCAAAGGAACATTCCTGTGAAGTTTGGATGAAATTGGCTTAGTGGTTTATGAGGAGATGTCATTTAAAGTAAAAGTATACTGCCAGCTACTTAGACATTTAACAGAAATGAATTATTTCACAAAATTTAATACTTCTGCTTCAAAATACTATCAGCTAAAAGATTTCAGTATTTAGGAAGATTAAAACTATCTAGTAACATTAAATCTATCTAGTAACAAGTACACTTGAGTATGTACAAGTGCTTTCAACAATTTCTTTTTTATCTTTCAAGGTCTTACACTTAATAATACCAACAGTTAAATCTCTTCAGTTAGGTTGTGTAATTTGTTCGTACTTTATACGGCCAAAAAGTTCGGAATTTGGAAGTTTCTGGAATTCAGAAGTTCAGAATTTTCTGAACAAAATAATAGAAATGATAAAGTTCAGCAGTTTTAGTAAGAAAAGATGAAAGCTTTTAAAATCTATGAAATGGTAGCATTGTTTTGAGAAATTTTAAAAAAGTTTATTATAAACTGTTGTCACTTATAACTTACTTTGTTGATACAATACATGCAGTTGATTATCACATTTTATTCTTCACCATGTTAAATGAAGTACCAACTATTTACCTGTAAACCTTTTTTTATTTACAATATATTGTACATTTCTCAGTTTTTTTTTTAATTTTCACAAATTAATTAATGGTTTAACATGCTTGACAGGTTGTGATTCTAATAGATGTCAATATAAATGGTCATTACTAATTAGAAGAAACTGACACTTTACATTTTACACATATAATCTTAAGAATAATAACCCTTCACACCATTTTCAATTTCCAGAATTTGGAAGTAAAATTTCATAGAAATAACCCAAATTTTACCATAAAATCGTTCAGAATTTAGAAGTTCCAGAATTCAGAGAAATGGATTATATAGAAAACAGAAGGAAAAAATTCAGGACCCAGAAAACTGTTCGGATTTCAGAAGTTTGCGGATTTTAGAAGTTCCGGAATTCGGAAGTTACACTGTATTTATTTACTATATTCTAATGTGTGACTAATGGAGTAAGGGCTTTTTTTGTATATTTTGGCCTTTTTCTTTTTTTTAATTTACATGGATTGTATTTTTAAGCCATATGCAATGTGTAAATTACCACTTTCTATGCTCATTGCACAATAATTTACTTTGAAATACATTTTCAAAATTTCCATGAAAATTAACATGACTCTTCAGGCATGCTGCTTTAAAAAAAAAATGCGTCAAAATTACCCAGATAGCAGATCATGTACTTTTTTTTAAGATGTCTGGAAAAATATGCCATTAGACAAACCCATGACAGGCCCTTTTTATCCAACTCCCATCTTTTTTCTTGGTTTATATACAATACTAGGTAAAAACTACATCAAAAGCACAATATGCCCCAGAAACAAACCATATTTTCCTTCTTAAGAAAGTGCAAACTTGAGTTTTAAAAAGTTTAAATAATGGTCTTAGATGCTATCATATAAATAAGGAAAGTAAGCTTAATAAATATGAAATTATTTGTCATTAAAGAAGCAAAATGTAAACAAAGTAGTTGACTTTCATACAAAATACTAAATCATTATATGAGCCGAGTCACAACAAAACCAATGTAATGTGTTTGCAACCAGCATGGATCCAGACCAGCCTGCGTGTCCGCACAGTCTGATCAGGATCCATGCTGTTTGCTTACAAACCCTATTACAAGTAGAGAAACTGATAGTGAACAGCATGGATCCTGATCAGACTGCGCGGATACGCAGGCTGGTCTGAATCCATGCTGGTAGCAAACGCACTATGTTTGTTTTGTAGTAACGCGGCTCATATGTTTTTACTGCCAAAAAATCAACAGAATCAATTGATGGTTCAAGAAAATGGTTAATTAGTTGGTTTTTTTTAACTATACAGGATGTAAAAGTGAAAAGATAATTAAACCATCACTGGGGATAAATGGGCCTTTAATATCAAATAAATGGGTTATTTTATAAAAAGACCTAAGACAAATCCTGAAACAAAAGTGGCAAAAATGTAAGATATAATTACCAACTATTTCCTTGCTCAGTTGTGCTCCAAATTTGCCCTTTAATGACAGCTTGGTGGTCCTGTTGAAATCCGACATTAGCTGGCTTTCTACAGGTCCTGTCTTCATGGGCTCAGTGTCAACCATTACATCTGTTAACTTTAAAATAAATCAGTATCCATATATATATATAATGTCTTCTAAAAAAATCATAGCAATTTGGGAGCATGTCAGAATCTATCCAATAAGGATATTTTGAGTAGTGAAAAAAGCCCTTACTTAGCATAATATCTTAGAAGAAATGAGCCGTGTCACGACAAAACCAAAATAATGGGTTTGCGACCAGCATGGATCCAGACCAGCCTGCGCATCCGCGCAGTCTGATCATGATCCATGCTGTTTGCTTACCAACCCTTTTACAAGTCGAGAAACTGACAGCGAACAGAATGGATCCTGATCAGATTGCGCGCATGCGCAGGCTGGTCTGGATCCATGCTGGTCGCAAACGCACTATGTTGGTTTTGTCATGACGCGGCTCAAATGTCCACCTTTCAATCTACACCAAAGCCATTCATCATATTTCGAGAAAATTTCAAAATATGTACTCACTGAATTACAAACAGCGCAGACCATGCTGTGCTCGTTGATCTTGGTCTGCACTGGTCACATGGGTAAAGATATTTCATAATATCTGACAATTTACATAAAAATAATGTTGTATTTCTAAATACAAGGATATTCTTTGTATGTTACCTGTAAGATCAAACAATCTCTCTGATATTTTCTCATTTTTATTACTCCAACAAAATTCATTAAAATCAAACTAGAAATGTGTCCATATGTCACACTGATACCCTGACATTGTACTGATTAGTCAGTCTAGAAACAACAGCAAATCTATACCTGTAAGCTCATAATAATCACTGAAATTTAATGCTGTTTAATCTTTTTTTTTTTTTGGTTTGGTTTCATGTTGCACCAACACAGTATAGGTCATATGGCAACTTTCCAGCTTTACTTGTGGAGGAAAACCTCAGATGCCTTTTCCATGCATTATTTCAGGCATGAAGAGGTACCCGAGTAAAACCACACCGTCGTTACTTAAGCAAGCTGGATAACTTCCACACATGAAAGAATCTAAAGCCCATGTCATAATTGAAACCTACATGGGTGAGGGGTGGGATTAATGTTTTAGATTAAAACAAGCAGGCACCAGTAAGCTTGCTGGATAATAAGCTACCTCATTAATGTTTGTTTTGGGTTTTACGTCACATCGATACAGTATAGGTCATATTGCGACGTTCCAGCTTTACTGCTGGTAGAGACCTCAGGTGCCCTTCTATGCATTATTTCAGACACGAACAGGCACCTGAGTAGAACCACCAATGTTCGGTAAGATAGCTGTCCAGATAGCCTCCATACATGAAAGAATCCAAAGTCCCTGTCGGGATTTGAACCCACAGCGGTGAGGGGCAAGTGATTTAAAGAAAAAAAAACTTTAACCACTCGGCCACGGATGCCCCTTCCTCATTTGAATAAATCCAAATTCCCTGACAGAACCAAATAATGAATGAAGATGATTCATTAGCTATGAAAAATTGTCACCAATAAATCTGAAAACTGTAGCCTAAAAAGTTATCTAGTTGTCAAACAGCTTCACAACCAAAAATAAAACACAAAAAGAGGGAAAAAACGCCTTAAAAATAATCTTAAAAGCTAAAAAAATTCCACTCTACCTGAAATTCTGTGGGGCTGAAGTTTGCTTTCTCAAAGAAAATGAATCGTCTTTTCCTCGTCTTAACAACCAACTGGAAAGGCTTGACATTGTCCTTTTCATCTATTGACGGCACAGGGTGTAATGTATTTCTGCCAACTGATCTTGTAAACTGGTAACTTGAAGCCGCAAACATGCTCTTCACGGATATTTGTTCACGCATGTGTTGTAAACCAGTAGCTTTAACCTCAGGTTTTGTAAACTTAACTGATGGATTTTGAAACAAGTTCAAAATCTTTTTCAAGACACTTTTCAAGTGCATAATATTAAAGCACTTTCATATCAAAGTTTATCTCTCAAGTGTTTCAACAGTCTAATCTACAATGAGAAGGAAACAAAATTTTATTAAATTTTTTCTCATGGTACATTTAAACTTCCTTCCTTAAGCTATTTCCTCCACTTCTGTTATATACAAAGAAAAATATCAAGATGAAAATTTGACGTTGGTCAGTCTGAGGAGCATAGAGCCTGTGGAAAAGGTTCTGTGGTTAGACTAGTGGTAAAGGTCAGACTGGTGGTAAAGGTCAGACTGGTGGTAAAGGTCAAACTGGTGGTAAAGGTCAGACTGGTGGTAAAGGTCAGGCTGGTGGTAAAGGTCAGGCTGGTGGTAAAGGTTAGACTGGTTGTTAAAGTTAGACTGGTGGTAAAGGTTAGACTGGTGGTAAAGGTGAGACTGGTGGTAAAGGTCAGGCTGGTGGTAAAGGTCAAACTGGTAGGAAAGGTCAGACTGGTGGTAAAGGTCAGACTGGTTGTAAAGGTCATACTGGTTGTAAAGGTTAGACTGGTGGTAAAGGTCAGACTGGTTGTAAAGGTCAGACTGGTTGTAAAGGTTAGACTGGTGGTAAAGGTCAGACTGGTGGTAAAGGTTAGACTGGTGGTAAAGGTCAAACTGGTGGTAAAGGTCAAACTGGTAGGAAATGTTAGACTGGTGGTAAAGGTCAGGCTGGTGGTAAAGGTCAGACTGGTGGTAAAGGTTAGACTGGTGGTAAAGGTCAGACTGGTGGTAAAGGTCAGACTGGTTGTAAAGGTTAGACTGGTGGTAAAGGTTAGACTGGTGGTAAAGGTTATCATTTCCAGCTCCAGCAGGTAATGGATTAATTTTGGGACAGTCATGGCAAGATTAAATGCATTTTAAAGCACTTGTTAAATAAATGTTATATTAGGAACCAAGGAACAAGGAAACTGATTTAAATAAGCATGTTTCCAGGTTAACTATAATTGCCTTATTAAAGTTATAAAAAATAATCCAAGGGATCTGATTTTAGAGTATATTTTACATTAGTCCTGATACAGGATTAAAATTATTATATTATTCAACATAATAATTTCTGAGTAAAATATATCTGTGATACAATTATTTATAACAGCTTTAGGCACGGGCATGTCTGTAAGCACATCTGTTCAGCAGTCTGACCTAATCATAAATTCTGTAGGCTGACTTGTTCTATATATTTCCATCTTAAAAATCTGTAAATTACAATGATCCACCAGTGACCACTAATTGCATTTTTCTTAATTATTGCTTCAAAAATAATTAAAATGCTTAAATTTTCATTTCTCAAAAGCTTTTATTTTTGGTGTACTTTTACACATGTAATTTCAAAAAAGTTGCTCATTTTAGCAAATTACCTGAACAATCTGTTTCTGCTGTTGCTTTTTGGCAATTAGTACACAATAGTTTAGTATTTTGTATTAAAGTAAAAAAACACTAATGTTTAGGTTTTCTTATTTTTATAACAAATAATAACATAATTAGAGCTACTTAAATCCTAGGTAACAAGCATTTCAAATGTTTTTGTTTGTTTGTTTTGGGTTTTAATTCACATCAACACAGTATAGGTCATATCGCGACATTCCAGCTTTACTGGTGGAGGAAGACCTCAGGTGCCCTTTGATGCATTATTTAAGGCACGAACGGGCACCTGAGTAGAACCCCCGACGTTCCGTAAGCTAGCTGTATAGCTTCCTCACATGAAAGAATCCACCAAAGTCCCAGTGTCGGGATCCGAACCCACAGCGGTGAGGGGCAAGTGATTTGAAGTCAACGACCATAACCACTTGGCCACGGACGCCCCATCTCAAATGTTCTAATGACTTGGCCTTTCTATTTGCACATTATCAGTTAAAATGGGCAATTCAACTATAATCTTACAAAACTGTGCTTGAATGACAACATAAAAGATAAATATGTGTCATTGTTTTATCTTGTTTAAGGATTAAAGATAATAATTTAGTGATACTTAACTTGCATACCTCCAGATGGGCCAAAATATTTAAGAAAAATTGAGAAGAATCATGTTCATGCTTTACATGTCATAAGGTATTAATGACTGATTCTGAAATATTTATCCCAAAATTTCTACTGCATTAGTACTATCGTAAGGGCGGTATGGGCTAAATATCAAAGAGGAATATAAGCAAATTCGCTTTTAACATTGTCTGTATTTAAAGTTTATAAATGTGTGATATTTGGGTAATATTGACTAGTGCAGCCCATATGAAAAAAGATGGCACTGTGTCCTTGAATGACTTGAGAAGTTGAATAGCTCGAATTTCTTGTTTGTGATGTGTTGAACGTGACGCTCAAGAACAAGTGTGTTTAGGATTTAGTATGTTATGATTAACACATTTTCTTTTTTAATTCTGACTGAAAAATGATCGTACTTCCGTTTATAATACGTTTTTTTCCTGATAAGAACAATATCTGCCGGTTACCATTACAACCCGGAAGTTAAATAGTATCTTAACTCAATGTCTTCTAATGGACCTAAAGAATATTGCAAAACAGAGCAAATGACACCAAAGAAATAAAAATATACTAAAGCTGACGAGTGCTGATATTTTTCAGCACCTAGACTCTGGCGACAAGATTAAAAAGATATTGCATATATCACCTCAATGTCACCGAAAATATATATCATGACAAATACGCTATCAAACACAACTTTACAAATTATGGCAACATTTTTTTTATCTTTTATTTTAAGGGCCTCAACATTGTGGGATTGAGGCTCAATATCAAAATCTGACTACAATGCAATAAGTTGTGGCCAAAAGTATATTTTTCATGATGAGGTCTCATTTTTATGACATATCTACGGTGGTATCTGGGACAAAATGTAATAGTCCAAGGTTTCATATAGAGGTGACATATACAATACCTAGCTTTTTATCTCGTGGGCACAACTTTTCAAATTATTCCTGGTCACACTTTATTAAATTGAAGCCTTTTAAAAAGATATTAGGTCCTAAATTGTGACAAAAATTTTAATGAGCCGTTTCCACAATTATCATGTCGATGGTTAAGATTGTGACCACAATTTAACAAATTGTGACCACCAGATACAAAAAAGTATTGCAATCTCACTCACTGCCATCTATCTCATTATGAAATCCAGTATTCACTTGACGATTTCAGTGTATGTTTTTATTTCAAGAAAAACATTCATTTTTTATACAGTTGTACAGATTTTGACAGCTTATATATATTATATATATATATTGCCGTTATATTATAATATTAGTTAGTAAGATTTTCGACAGGTAATGTGGTTATTTTGCACATATAATTCAAGCCGTTAGGCGAGGGATAAATTGTAAGCAACCATTTGTATACGAATCAAGAGTCCATTATGAGTTGAGAATCTTTATAGCGATTATTATCTATAATGCAGGAGAGAAAAAGAAGAATTTAATTCATAAATCAACTGCAGCCGTGTACATATAGTTAATTATAGATAGTTTATATAAACGTAAGATTATCCATTACAAACGTGCAGTATAACAAAAGCAAATGTTACAGTATATTTCAGTTATATTTTATATATTTGCTATTTTTCCCCTTTTGATATTTCTTACAATTAGAAAAAAATAATTTAATTCAGTAACGTATACATTTACAGTACTCGTTACATGTGTACAAATAATACTGTGGTCTCATGACAAAAAGCAAAGAAAAAATACAATGATAAATATAATTTGGACACGGAAAGTTTAACTAATAAAAATTTCTAAAATACTGTTTTAAATGAAGAATAGCTGCAAATAAAGAAAAAGAAAGAACATCACGATCAATATCATTATCATTCATAGAAATACAATACAATACAATAAAGATGGATAAACAAAACAGCTAAAAGTTTAATATTACATGGATATTTTTAACAGTAAGGATACGAAGTAACATACTTATTCTCATTTAGAAATGCAGCAGAACAGTATATTCTTAAATTTTAATAATTCTACACATTTAAACATACAATAATATGTATTATATACAGTATGCAATACTTGAAGTGAAGATTTTATTTTATTGATTTTCCGTTGATTAATATGCAGCAAGCGTTACCGAAATTAAATTTTGATAATTTATTAATTATTGACATCTACAAAATGGAAAGATACGGTACCTTTTTACCTTTTCATATAAACGTCGTCTTTTCCTTTTCATTGAAACATTTTCTAAAAGTATCAAATAGCTTTGGATCTTTGTATTTCTTCTTTGTTCCTATTATTTTTGCCCTAAATTTTCCTCACCATGATCTCATGATCTGTAGCACTGTCCGTCATGTTGTCGTAGAAACCGCTTCAATTAGGTTGTTGGTCTGTTTTTCCATGAATTACGGATTATTCCCGTTTCAACTGTAAAGTGTTTTGCAAACTTTTTGAAACTTTAAAAAGTGCGTTTTCTTAAGAACAGGAAAGTAGGGGATTCCCATTTTCACTTTCCTGACAAGATAAGTTTGTAATGAAAAACAAAATTCGTCTGGGAAACATTAAAGTCCATGTGGAAAGGAAATGCCCACTTGTTATATCATTTGGGCTGTGGGCTACAGCTAGGATTCATCCAAACTACATGCTAACCGATTTAACGTAATCCTACAACAGATATCTAATATATATTTTACCAAGCGTAAATGTTAGTCAAAATGCAATCATTTCCTTTTCCGAACGGATTTTTTAAAAATTTTGAACAGAAAGTGAAAAGGCGATCCCCGACTGATTTCTTTACATATACATGTATTAATTCGCCGATTTTTATGTCTGTTTTAAGGGGTAAACATTAACTACTTGCCCCACAGTGACACACATTTATAATATAATTCGTCGCCGAATTTTACGAGCGGTGGTCAGCGCTTCACAAATACGTATGCCTTGTTAAAGTTGTCCATGGGGCTTCCGTTTCCAAAACCACATCAGGTTAAACTTGACGCTTAATAATTAATGAAGTCACCAATTAATAACCATAACCATTTCATGAAGTTTTATGAAATGCATGTATATTTACAAAATTCCTTGTAAGGATTTTGCATGCCAGTAAACTTTCCTTGACTACTACAGGTTTGCACTAGAAACTATATACAATTTTCTTTAGGATTATAATTTTTAAGATCCTGTAACACATTTTTTTCATGGTTTAATTTCATAAATATGATGCTCAAATTAAGATTCGTGTACACACAGTAACAATATCAATCACAAAACATACAGGATCTGGTCACAAAATAGAATCAACTGCGGCATGAATATTGACAGACATGTTAGAAATGTTTTTTTTTTAGCTTAAGGTCGTTAGATCAGGTAAAATAAGATCAGTTTCCATAAGTTATTTATTTGAAATTTGATGATTAAAGACTTATCTAGCTCTATCGTTATGTTTTCATATCTTTATTATGTAATTATTATCCAAATAACCAAGCAAGACCGGAATTTGACAGACAAAACCACGCCATTTACGTCATTATGTGTCCTTCAAGTCTTTGGGGCTTATAAAAACAAAATTCAATCATTTTTGGCTATAGAAAAGTTTCACATTCAAGTATTACCTTCCCTTAAAGATAGGATCCTTGTTACTTACCAAATCTCTGTGAGAATAAAGACAAACATGGAAGCTAAATTCTAATATTTTACTTATTACATTCTCAGAAATGAACATGTCACACAAAATCAGTGAGGAAACAAAAACAAGTCCATCTTCAATTTTATGTACATTAAACAAGACAGTAAAAGTTAAAGGGACTCCACTGAGGTTTTTTGACATGATTGGGTTGAGATAAATGTACCATTTGATGAAGGTTTAAACCACTAATCTTTGTGCAAAATTTCAGATCATTCACGCACTTCGTTTTTCAAGAATAATTATTCTAATTGTAAAAACTGACCCCAAAAAAAAGCGTTTGAACACTTTTCACTCAAATAGGGCTAAGAAAAGCAAGCATAAATATACTATTTTCAATTTATTTCAAAGTATATTTCTTAACTATCTTTGCATATATTTCTGTTTAAAGTGCTCCAGCTCATTTATGTAAGAAATTCAAATGTTATGTTCTTAGGCTTTTTAACCTCAGTGGAGTCCCTTTAATATACAGTATGTATATATCAGGACCAAAATATTGGATGCCACCAAATCACTCAACTCTGTTTGTTTGTTTGTTTCATTTTACGTCTTTTCCCCAACAGTATTTCAGTCATATAGGCGGGTCGTTTCCTAACCATCGTTCCTGGAGAGTTACACCAGTACTAGACTACTTTCCTCCGCGCTAAACTACCAAAGCATCTTTCGGGGATTGAACCCACGCCAGAGAGGTAACTGGATTAGAAGTCATCGACTCTAACCCCTCGACCACGGAGGCGGTCTAACACTAAACTCTGAATTAATAACTAGATGAAGTGCTCAAACAAACTATATCAAGATTATTTGTTACAACAATATCTAAGGAAGTGAAAGCCTAAAAAAATTACAATTTTAAAATGTCTTCTACTTTAATATTTTTTCCCCCATGTTATGCATAAACAAATCTAACATTTTAGTAATCACATGTGTTTAACTTGTGCATACATATACAATTCTAATTTTCATATCCAAAATATATGAAACTAGGAATAAGAATAGAAGACACGGACACCCCCCACATCCACTGTTTTATGAAAGGGCAACCCGACAACGTGAAGGACAAGGACAAACCCTCTAAAGTAAGGGAGGCATAGACTACACTAGTCTTAAAACACACATTTAACCTGAAAGTCTGACTAGTTTATAATCATCAACTTTAAAATTTCATCTATCTCAGATCTGTTGTGGCTGAGAATGTCCCTTACAAAAGCATTTACTATAAAAAAAAAAATCAACTAAAAATGCCATGGCCTTTTTTTTTGCATATACTGTGCATTGGTTGTGCAGAAAACAACATATAAAGTAGCAAAGAAGCAAATTTACCGTCCAGGGTTATAATTTAATATTGTTCTTGTCAGAATAAGCTGAAAACATATATTCAAACAGCAATCAAGTTAAGTATTGGTTGTCAAAATATTTTTTTCTAATTTTTCTTTATTCCATATCACAAATAATTGTTTAGCATAAAATAACTCCGAGTCCTTCATGATTTATATAAGAAGAGCTTTTTTCCTTTGCTCACCACACTTAAGATGAATTTGATCCATGAAGAAATGTGTGAAAACATTTTTACACTGCATAATTATATAACAATTAAAATTTTTAACTGTTACTTGTTCCCTCCTTCTTGTCCATACTGCACGGTCTGAGTGTTTTTTTTTTACTTTTTATGGCAATCTCAAATGAATAAATCCCACTTCGAAAATTCTGTCACTAAGTAACAGCTTTCTGTATTATAATATATTAATAACTTATCCTTATATATAATTAATTTACATCCTAACAAAGTCTCCAAACTGTTACGAGGCTGCAGCGCCTTCATTTTGAACAGGTTTTACTTCAGTGCTCTCCCCTGCCTGTGAAGCCTGTGGCAGTTGTGCCCCTTGGCTATCATTTGTTAATGGTGATGTCCCTTGAATAGAGTTTACTGGGAGTGATGTCCCTTGATTTGAATTTGCAGCAGCACCAACAGTTTGGCTGGGCACCTGAGGACTTGTCATCAGACCTGTAAGAAATAATTAAAGATTTTATTTCAAAGTTGTTACTTATTTACAGAATGTGACATAAAAAATAAACATATACAAAGTTTACAATTAAAATAACAGAACATAATTATTTACATATGAATTATATGTCTTTATGTTGTTGTTTATTTGTTTTTGTTTTTTGTCTGTTATGTTTTAAACTATCACTGCTAAGGTCATATTGCGACTTTTCAGCTCTCCTGGTGGAGGAAGACCTCCAGTGCTCAAGTATTATTACAAGCACAAACTTGCACCTGAACAGAGCCACAAACCATCTGTAATTTCACAGGTGGGCATAAAAATAAGAAATGAGCCGTGTCACGACAAAACCAACATAATGGGTTTGCGACCAGCATGGATCCAGACCAGCCTACACATCTGCAGTCTGATCAGGATCCATGCTGTTCGCTTACCTACCCTATTACAAGTAGAGAAACTGATAGCGAACAGCATGGATCCTGATCAGACTGTGCGGATGCGCAGGCTGGTCTGGATCCATTCTGGTCGCAAACGCACTATGTTGGTTTTGTCGTGACTGGGCTCATTTCTTAATGTAACTTTTATTTTATTGAATAAATAACACCTACCAGAAAGTGCAGGGTCAGCTGTGGGCATCATGGGAAAAGATGTTGGTCCAGCTAAAGTCATAGGGAGATTAAAGCCTGCAGGTAATGGCCCCGCTGCACCTAGAATTAAATATATAACATATCAATACAGAATAAGAATAACATTATCTACAGGTGTGTCACACAGACACAGTATAAGTTATGTTGTGACATTCCATCTTTACTGGCGGAGGAATACCACAGGTGCCCTTCCTTGCATTATTTTAGGCACAAACGTGCACCTGAGTAGAACCACCAAGGTTCCGGAAGTTAGCATTATAGCTCCATCTCATGAAAGAATCTAAAGTCCCTGTTGGGATTCAAACCCACAGTGGTGAGGAGCAAGTGGATTAAAGTCAACCACTGTAACCACTGGGTCACAGACACCCCTCATTATCTATAAGTAACTAATAACAATGAAATATCGGTACCTGGTTCTTGGGTAAATTTGCTGAATTTAGGCCAGCATTATTGCCGCCATCAATATTTACCAGAAATATTTCAGGCAATAAGTTTAAGATTCTAGATATATGACACAAGCAGGCATCCAAAAATATTTTTGAGAGTCACTTGTCCAGTAGGACAAGTAGCTTCTAAATCCATTCTTTTTTACTTGTCCTGCATCAAATTCTCTTAAATTCTACCCGTAATTAGGAGCAGATGAGTGGAATTTTCTATCCCTGACTAGACAAATATAAAACATACAATATAAAACTTTATTTCAAAATGTAAGGGAGTATATTAAAAGCCTTACTTGGGTTAAAAGGAGGCATTGATATCGGGGGCATCCCGGGTATAGATATCGGAGCTTGTAAAGGCGGTAACGGACCTAAATTTGGTAATGTTGACAGTGGTGGAAGCCCTGGAAACAAGAAAACATTATATAATACAAACTCCAGCTTGTGACGGTCCCAGGAACCTGGAAAGATCATATCTTACCATAAACAGCATCAGCAGCCTTTAAAGATTATATCATATTGACACTAATCACAAGCACTTTAACTGAGAAGAACAATTATTCATCATGAAATACACCTATTAGTTGGCAGTTTCATACTCATGTGAAGTCAGCAGAAGTACACAATTATACATTTCTTCACATATCAAAATTATACTTATAATGTAATATTATCAATTAATGCAAAACAGTCATCATCGATTATACCTACTTTGGGACACATAATCAAAATTACATATGTAAAATAAAATATATATATAATGTCACTTTTTTTCTGAAGAAGACAAAATGTTGAAAGCTTAGAAAGGTATTTGTTTTTATCAAATCGATTATATAACAAATCAAATCAAAATTTATTTATTGTCGGTATACATATATAACATTTTACAAAACATAAGCTATGTATAGCTTTTGACCGACATACATGCATAATGATATAAACATAAAACTCATAAAAGAAGCACATTTAGATAAACTTTGAAAGACAAATGGTAACAGACAAGTTAAATTACTATAATGTGGAATGTAGACACTAAATGTAATAGTTTAAAGTAAAATAATAATAAGTAATAAATAGTAATGATATGCTAAGGATAACATTTAATTACTGTATTATAAGTGAATAAAATAATACATATCTAGATTAAAAATGCGGAACATATAAGCACATACATAAAATAAGATTACTTTAAAAGTGGGTGGATTCTGCTGATCTTGACCCAGTACAATAGTGAAGTATTTGAAAATACACCATGAAATTTCATGATTACCCAAACTGAGGAATCAAATGTATTACAGTATGGTAAATTTTATTATTACTTTAAATATACACTTTGTTTATTGGCAAGAATATAAGTAAATGTATGTATGTATAATTATATACCTGTTCCACCAGAAGGAGATTGTGAGAAGTTCGGTAACGGTGCAGGCTGGGCGGGTAGTCCCCCCATACCAGCTAACCCTTGACCTACTGTAGACTGGGGAATTACAGGAATAGTTGGTGTGCCTGTAATTAAATCAACTTACATTTGAATAATATAAGATATCCGGCATTAAAACAAAATAATTAACTGATAAAGAATTATACAATATACAGTATCATCTAAGGATAGATAAGCAAAGAATATGTGCTTCTTATTCAAGCCGTTCATAAAAGACATGTGCACTTGTGTATCATTGCTTCAAGTCAAATTAAAGTTTGCACATATAGACTCTACATAATTATTTGATAACAAGAGGGCCATGATGGCCCTGAGGTCGCTCACCTGTATATAGGCCCCCCACCCCCGGGCCAATTTTTAACCAAGGGCTTTTATTTGTTTATTTGAACAGACTTGGTAGACACCCATAAGAAGATGTTTCATGCTAAACATCTAAGTTCTAGCTCATTGCCATTTTTAAAAGAAGATTTTTAAAGTTTTTACTATACACATATAGTTAAAAACAATGTCACCCCTGGGGCAGGGCCAGTTTTGACCCCCGGGCGTTTATTTTAACTTAACTGATATTTACTTAAAGATGTTTCATGCTTAATATCTAAACTCTAGCTATTTGGGTTTTTCCAAAGAAGATTTTTTAAGTTTTTGCTATACACATATAAGGAAAAATCAATGACCCCCCCCAACCCGGGCGGGGCCAGTTTTGACCCCAGGGCTTTTATTTGAACATACTTGGTAGACACCCATTAGAACATGTTTCATGCTAAATATCTTAGCTCTAGCTCTTTGAGTTCTTTAAAAGAAGATTTTTTAAGTTTTTTACTATATGCATATAGGGAAAATCAATGACCCCCTGGGGCGGGCCAATTTTGACCCCAGAGCTTTTATTTGAACAAACTTGGTAGACACTCATTAGAAGATGTTTCATGCTAAATATCTTAGCTCTAGCTCTTTGAGTTCTTTAAAAGAGAATTTTTTTTAAGTTTTTACTCTATGCATATAGGGAAAATCTATGACCCCCTGGGGCAGGGTCAATTTTGACCCCAGGGCTTTTATTTGAACAAACTTGGTAGACATTCACTAGAAGATGTTTCATGCCAAATATCTAAGCTCTAGCTCTAATGGTTCTTTAAAAGAAGATTTTTTAAGTTTTTACCATATGCATATAGGGAAAATCAATGACCCCCGGGGCGGGCCAATTTTGACCCCAGGGCTTTAATTTGAACAAACTTGGTAGACACTCACTAGAAGATGTTTCATGCTTAATATCTCAGCTCTAGCTCTTTGGTTCTTTAAAAGAAATTTTTTTAAGTTTTTACTATATGCATATAGGGAAAATCTATGACCCCCTGGGGCGGGGTCAATTTTGACCCCAGGGCTTTTATTTGAACAAACTTGGTAGACATTCACTAGAAGATGTTTCATGCCAAATATCTAAGCTCTAGCTTCTTTATGGTTCTTTTAAAAGAAGATTTTTTAAAGTTTTTACTATATGCATATAGGGAAAATCAATGACCCCGGGGCGGGGCCAATTTTGACCCCCAGGGCTTTAATTTGAACAAACTTGGTAGACACTCACTAGAAGATGTTTCATGCTTAATATCTTAGCTCTAGCTCTTTGGGTTCTTTAAAGAAGATTTTTTAAGTTTTTACTATAAGCATAAAGGGAAAATCAATGACCCCCTAGGTCGGGGCCAATTTTGACCCCAGGGCTTTTATTTGAACAAACTTGGTAGACATTCACTAGAAGATGTTTCATGCCAAATATCTAAGCTCTAGCTCTTTAGGTTCTTTAAAAAGAAGATTTTTTAAGTTTTTACTTTATGCATATAGGGAAAATCAATGACCCCCAGGGGCGGGGCCAATTTTGACCCCAGGGCTTTTATTTGAACAAAACTTGGTAGACACTCACTAGAAGATGTTTCATGCCAAATATCTAAGCTCTAGCTCTTATGGTTTTTTAAAAGAAGATATTTAAAGTTTTTTCTTTTGGTTGCCATGGCAACCAGAGTTCTGCATGGAATTAAATTCTTTGAACAATTTTTAAAGGTGACCACCAAAGGAACATTCCTGTGAAGTTTGGATGAAATTGGCTCAGTGGTTTATGAGGAGATGTCATTTAAAGCAAAAGTTTACGGACGGACGGACGACGGACGGACGGACGGACGGACGCCGGACGAAAAGCGATCACAAAAGCTCACCCTGTCACTTTGTGACAGGTGAGCTAAAAATTAATTATTTGATAAAAATGTCAAAGTATCCAAAAAAAGTTCTTGCTTCAATTGTGACAAGGTAAAAATATCCCCCGATTACAGTACAAAATTCATCTTAGTGTTAAGCTTTATTTGTCGTCCAATTTAAATGCTGAATTTCTGAAATATTCTGTGCTTAATTTAAGTTGATACTACATTGTATATCACATTCTGTTCATAGTCGCCTTCCATTTTCCATAGTGCTTCATAGAACCGCATAGTGACATAATAAATTAAATATCAATAAAGCCAAATAAAGCTTGCCACTAAGTATGAAAGTTTTCATCTGTAGCTGTTCTACAGAAATTAGAAACATTCTCTGTCGCTTTCAGAAAAATTCCCAATTGAAAGTTACATAATAATAATATTGAAATTTGAAAGTAAGGGCTTCTTTACTGTTATAGTGCTTAAATGTTTAAAGATACCATCCAGTTCATTAAATCAAGATGCAATACTAGAAAGTGATTGTTTACATTCATTCATCATTTAATCACTGCAAAATTTCAGTCATGCATTTTTACCCAATTCTTAAGAAAACATTGATTAAATTCCCAGTTCCATGGGAATTTGGTCATGTTCCCAAAATTCTTGAAAAAAAAATCCTGGTACCTGTGTTAAGAGAGAGATTTGCCATTCCTTGAGTAGCTCCAACGGCATTATTAGACACCTACAAAATAAAGTATGTTCACATTTGAGCCGCGTCATGACAAAACCAACATAATGGGTTTGCGACCAGCATGGATCCAGACCAGCCTGCGCATCCGCGCAGTATGATCAGGATCCATGCTGTTCGCTATCAGTTTCTCTACTTGTTATACGGTTTGTAAGCAAACAGCATGGATCCTGATCAGACTGCGCAGATGAGCAAGCTGGTCTGGATCCATGCTGGTCGCAAACCCATTATGTTGATTTTGTCGTGACGCGGCTTATTTCAATTATTGTTGTTGGAAATATTTAAACATAATACCTGTGAGTATATCCTTCAAATAAAGATTGAGGTAAAGCCTCTTCCCAATAAAAATTTTCATTTAAAATCATGCAGTTTTCCCATAATTCTGAACTTACACCAGCTTTTTTACTTCACAAATCGACAATATTAGCGATACTTTTTCCAAAAACAGACAGGCTAAGGCCCCATCTCAATTGAAGGGTATAAATCTATATCTTATGAAATAGTTTAATAAAATTTACCAACAGTAAAATTATATTGGTTTGATTATTATATGGTTGATTCCCAAAAAAGTTGTAACATAGAATGTCTCCGTTATTTAATACACATGAATAATGTACGTAAACAGAATAAAATGTTATGGTACAAAATATTATTTTGCTATTTTAAGAAGGGTTTTATCCGTATGCATGTGCCATATTTATTTTATTCAAGCATTTTGGAAGTATACTTTTTTTAAAATTCAAACAATAATTTTTGCACCAGATATATACTTTATACACTTTCAGTGAGAAAAAAACCCCACTGAAATATATATGCATCCCTGTTTTACAGTATGAAATAAAACTTACATTTGTAAGTGGAGTTCTTCCTATTGTAGTTTGTGTGTTAATATGTGGGGGTAACTGAACAGTATGTGATGATGGAAATTGACATTTTGGTATTCTATGTAGATAACCGTATCCTATCCCACAACCCAAGCTGAAAAATAAGACCATAATTTCAATGTACAAAAAATAAGACAATACCTACATAAGACCACATTTACAGAAAAATAAGGCCAAATTTACGCAATACCATACTTACAGTGAAATAAGGCCATACTTACAGAGAAATAAGACCATACTTGCATAACACCATACTTTAAGAAAAATAAGACCAATTTACATAAAATTAAGACCCATCAGTACAGAAAAAAAGTCAATATGTACAGAAAAATAAGAGCACTGCATGACAAGGTTACGCTCATCTGCTAAAACTTCTTAAGTTAAAAGGGAGCAAAATTCCAAAAATATTGCTTTAAGAACTATGCCCCTTGTCTAATAACTGCACCAGATTATGATTTAGAAGCAAGTATTCCAAGTTTCTTTTTAATAAATCTTAAAATGTTTGAATAATGGGCTACATAATAGTTTTGAGATAATGACAACTATGAAGAGCACACAGCTATTATAAAAGCTCAACTTTTTCATTGAAACAGACAAGATAGTAACACCATACTTTCAGAAAAAGAAATCCATAAAACTGTAAATTGTAAATAAAGACAAATTCTGATCTTCCCTTTTAATGTGTAATTGGACTTAATTTAAATGAATCAATCAAAACAACTTAATTCAATTGAAACAATCAACAAAACAACTTAATTTAATTGAAACAATCAACAAAACAACTTAATTTAATTTGAATCACTCAACAAAACAACTCAATTTAATTGAAACAATCAACAAAACAACTTAATTTAATTGAAACAATCAACAAAACAGCTTAATTTAATTGAAACAATCAACAAAACAACTTAATTTAATTGAAACAATCAATCAATCAACAATCAAACAGCTTAATCTAATTGAATTAATCAACAAAACAACTTTATTTAATTGAATTTATCAAAATAACATGACATACCTGCCTTCACCTCCCCATGATGAATTTGGTGTAATGGTAACTTCTCTACAAGAGTCAGAATCACTATTATACACATATAACTTCAGAGGTTTACCTTCATGTGATTCTATCAATGTGAACAGATCTTCCGACTGAAATAGTAAAAACAGCTGTCAGTGGAGACAGCACTCTCAACTGATTTAATACCGGAGAATATAATACAGACAACACTTTATAAACAAGAGCTGTCGGTAGGACAGCATGCTCGACTATTCTTAGTGCTTGATAGTAAAAAAAATGCCTGATACAGTTACCTCCTCCTGTTTACAGGTTGGAGTCATGATGGTGAACAAGTGTGCAAAGTTTCAAAGCCATATGTCAATGGACTTTGAAAATATTTGAACTATTACAAAAACTTTAACGTAAATTCTAAGACGAAAAAGGGGCATAATTCTGTCAAAATGCTTGATAGAGTTACCTCCTCCTGTTTACAGGTTGGGGTCATGATGTTGAACAAGTGTGCAAAGTTTCAAAGCCAAATGTCAATGGACTTTGAAAATATTTGAACTATTACAAAAACTTTAACGTAAATTCTAAGTCGAAAAAGGGGCATAATTCTGTCAAAAATGCTTAATAGAGTTACCTCCTGCTGTCTACAGGTTGGGGTCATGATGTTGAACAAGTGTGCAAAGTTTCAAAAAGCCATATGTCTATGGGACTTTGAAAATATTTGAACTATTACAAAAACTTTAACGTAAATTCTAAGTCGAAAAAGGGGCATAATTCTGTCAAAATGCTTGATAGAGTTACCTCCTCCTGTCTACAGGTTGGGGTCATGATGGTGAACAAGTGTGCAAAGTTTCAAAGCCATATGTCAATGGACTTTGAAAATATTTGAACTATTAGCAAAAACTTTAACGTAAATTCTAAGTCGAAAAAGGGGCATAATTCTGTCAAAATGCTTGATAGAGTTACCTCCTCCTGTCTACAGGTTGGGGTTCATGATGGTGAACAAGTGTGCAAAGTTTCAAAAAGCCATATGTCAATGGACTTTGAAAATATTTTGAACTATTACAAAAACTTTAACGTAAATTCTAAGTCGAAAAAGGGGCATAATTCTGTCAAAATGCTTGATAGAGTTACCTCCTCCTGTCTACAGGTTGGGGTCATGATGGTGAACAAGTGTGCAAAGTTTCAAAGCCATATGTCAATGGACTTTGAAAATATTTGAACTATTACAAAAACTTTAACATAAGTGGTTACGCCGACGCCGACGCTCGGGTGACTGCAATAGCTCTACTTATTCTTATCGAATAGTCGAGCTAAAAATATCAATTCTAACATGCTTGACACTAATTATTTTCCTATCCAAACAGATAGGGTTATCAAGTGCATTATTACGTGATATATATGCACAGCATAAACAAGGGCAACATTGTAGCAAAATACGCCAGTCACAGAAGCTTTTGACAGAGATATGGGCATTATAGATATGCATATAGGATATATTCTCTGGGCAATATCTGGAAAATATCTGGATATATTATTATCTCTAGTGATTTTTTTAATCTGAACTTTGACTCCTATGTGTGACCTTGACCTTTGCCGCAGGGACCTTAATTTTGCCGATAGGCTTTCCTGATTACATTCTCGCTCATTCGAATTCAAACCATGCATCATTTAAAAGCAATGCACTAAAAATTGATATTTACTTCCTAATTTTTATAAATATATTCATATATGTAACTAATAGTTATAAATACTTAACAGGAAATAACATTTTACACCAAAAAACAACTGATAGTCAGACAAAAGCCCCAAGTCTATTTTTTTAGATCAGAATAAAATCTTGTTTTTTTTTTGGCACCAGAAATTATAGAAATAATTGTGACTACCCATCTATTACTATTTATCATTATGTATTATACCTTATCCAGGTGCGGCAAAATCAATTGTATATATTGCTCAGGTTCAAGGTTGTCCCACAGTCTGTACGGACAGGTGGAAATTTACTATAATTTCTATATAAATATCATATGGGCAATTTCAAAAATGCTTAAGATAAAAACAGACAAGTAAATAAAATTTAGAATTTGGCGGCCTTGATTATCATGTAAACACAGGGTTTTCATTTTTATCTGAGATAACAGGTGTGACAATGAAAACAACTAATTTGGCCAAGGGTCAAGGAGGTTATCTTAATATACAGGCTGAAAATACAATGAATTTACGCATTTTTAACCAATTTTGATTTATTGGATTGCCAATCTTTTTTAATAATGAAAAACCTTAAAATTAAAAACAGAATGACCAAATATTAAAAAAAATATTTTCATATACCTCATGAAGAACGGAATCTGCTCCAATAATATAATCAAGTTAATTTTGATCTTAGAACCTGCCTAAAAATCCCAGCTGGAGAATTTGGCTTTGAACTTCCTTTTTTTAAAAAAACAACATTAAAGAATTATATTTATTTTATGATCTTTTAAAAGGACTCCCACTTGGTTTTTTTTGAACAAAATGGAACTTTGGAAATAATTTCTCAAGATTAAGGTTCCATATGTTTGCAGATCTAGACCAATAACTTGGGTGCCAAGTTTCTGATCTTTTGCTCACTCCATTTTTCCATAATACTAATTCTAATTGTGCAAAATGACCCAAAATTGAAAAGCATTGCACACAATCGGGTTGAGAAGGGCCTAAACATACCATTTTTAATTACATCTGAGTATATTTCTTAATCTTATGCATATCTTTCAATTTTCAGTGCTCTAGCTGACTTATGAAGGAAATTCAAATTTTTAATTTTAGGACCTCAGTGGAGCTCCTTTAATAATTATAAATCAAAATTAAACACTGTGATTGTTAAATCTACTTCTTTTTAATAATAAACTTTAATAAGGAAAAGAGAAATATACAATTTATGCAATATGCAAATTTCTATTGAAGTTTTACAAATTCGGATCTCAAAAATATCTACAATTTTATTGTGCACTTCTACAAATGGTATATAAATAGATTTTTATGATTACAGTTTCTACTTACCAAGACATGCCACACATTCTCATTGGCTCCTTCAAACGAGCAAAATCTGAAGATGTAGAAAAAAACGTTTTCATAATTTCAAAATTTTTACAATTGAGGATGAAACTTGATACTTTCCCATCCAGGTCAACTTTTTACACATATATACAACTTTTAATAAATGAAAAATATCACTCTTTTCAGTTTCACTAAAAAGGTTGACTTCATGAAAGTTTTCTTTAATATTCCAAATTTTCATTTCTTTACTAAAATTTACAAAGTTAAAAGCATAGATTGTTGATATAAAAGTAGATAATTCTCTCAACTAGAGACATACCCTTTTAATTCATGTGCATGCCAACCCACTTCATCTCATTGCAAACATTTATGCAAAGTTTTGTAACTTTTTTTTCATTTCCTGAAACAACAGTGTTTAGTATGCCTTGGCATAATTTATACCCGTCAAGAGAGGCAACTCTACATCAATGGCCATAGCATCTTAACTAATGAATTATGTCAGTAAATGAAGGAAGAAAACCCAATGACACAACATCTCAGATTAATTATTATTCATGCAGAGCTTGGCAACTTCCTGACATTGACTTTATCCTGACAAATATACACATCCCCCTCGCCATATTTGGGCTCACACATAACCACAAAAATTTTTCAACTGGCTACATTTATTTATTTGGACACTAGCTTCTTAATAACTTATAGAGAGTACTGATGTTTACAATTAAGCATACAGTTGACTATAGACAAGTTCAAGCCCTGTAATGTATTCTCCCTAACAGGAGGCATAATGGGGGCAGTAAGTCAGGTTGCCTTGAGTAACTTTACACATATTTTCCAGCAAATTTACCAGTCAACAAATAAAAATGCTTACCTTATACTAACACCAAGCAATCCCTGTCCTCCCCAATTATGACTTGGTGTTATAAAAACTTCTCTCACAGCCTGTTTTTTTAAACTTTTACACTGTCATCGGGAACGGGTTTTTTAAATTTTTGATTTTAAAAATTTTTTCAGGGGTGTCATTACCCTTTTGTTTTCTGAAACGAAGATGATACAAAAATGACAAAAAATCCCAAAATGCTAGAAGTATTGAACATTCCTTAAGTTTGTTCGAAAAATTAAAAGTTTGTAGCTTTTTGGAATTTGGGGGGGCCGAGGGGTTGCCTTTGATTTTTTAAGGCATCGAATTGAGCCCCCTTTTTAAATCCCTGTTGCCCGGGGGGACTAAAGTAAATGGGTTCAATTCGGAGTCCATTTTTAGTAGGGTGGGGTTTGGTTTTTTGGCCCCCTGGTTTTTGTTTTTCATTTTGTATCCCCCCAAAATTTTGGCCCAAAAAATTTTTCCTCCCTTTAAAGGACCAAAATTGCAAAGGTTGGGCTTTTATACCAAACCCCCTTTCCCGGAATGACCCATTCCTTTCCCTGAAAAATCCATTTTCGGGTGTCAAAAAAGGGGGACATATTTTTGGATTTTAAGGCTTCAAATGTTGAAACCTATAGGGTTTGAGAGGCGGGAACCCCCCCCCTCTGGCCCTTTATTGCTCTTTTTAACACTTTTTTTTTTTTTTCAAAATTTTTTCAAATAATGTTAACAACCCAAAATTTTATAATTTTTGGTTTCCCAAATTTGGGCCAAAAAATTTAAAATTCGAAGAATGTTTAAAAATTTCCAGTAAATTTCCCCTGGCGAATTATCTTGCACCTACAAATAGAGTTTGGTAGAAAATTTTAGTAAAATAAAATCCGTCAGCTGTAAAAAAAACAGTTCAGAAAAAAAATTTACATTTACATTACAGATACAAGAGTTTCTTCAAAAGTAATGGTTTTGAAATCTTTTGTTGGAAGAAAATTGAATGGTTATAAGTTTGCCTGCTCTTCATTGGAACAAGCCAGGAATCAGTACCAGCTGGTTACCTGCATTATTATTTAGCAAAGGTCGCTAGGGATTAGTTCTTTTTGTTTCTTGTTCAAATTTACATTCAGAAACCCTTGGCAATTACAATCAATGCAAATAGAAGGTTTCACAAACATACTTTTCCCAAAATAGGGCTCTTAACTCGTACACCATCATTTGATGAATTACTCATAATGTTTGTACTTTGTAGTTTAAACTTTATGAAACTGAAAATATTATTGATAGGTATAGAATTCTATAAATTCTTTTATTTAATATCCTTTTAAATTCACACATGTAGCCTGGCAAGCCAATGTGTTTGCCACCCCAGGCTTTGTCTTCCCTAGTATAATCTCTTTAATATTTATGTTTCTGTGCAACAATAAATCAGATTAGTTCTTGGGTTATCCCTTGTCATATTCACAGCAACTACAGACAATTAAAAATTCTCCTACTTTCCTAGGATGGTATACCACTGGAACCACCTACCCCCTGTAGTTACCCTACCCCAGAGCTGTTTTCAAGCTTATGGGAGTGATGGACGTCAGTGATAGCGTCTCAGCTTGAAGAGCTGGCCCAAAGGGTCTGCTAGCAAAGCGGGCTTTACGGTAATGCTAGTACCTGCTAGATAGTGATGGTTTAGAAAACTTTTGTCTGAAGTACTGAATAGACACATCCCAACTTTTCAAATTACAAGATAACGATAAAAGCCGAGGTATTCTGATTAAAAACAGATGCGTAGACTGGCGTCCTGCGCACTTATAGGAACCATAATAGGACACGGCAACAGAATAAACGGAAGCAGTGTATGAAATACGAATGACAGTTTTAAAAAGGAAAATGTAAAATAAATAAGAACGATTATTTTATACAGTATCACTGTAAATAGAGCTCGACTTGGGGCTTTGCCTTTTTCATATTAATTTCTTTCAAAGACCTTGCTTTGAGGCTTTGCCTTATTCATATTAATTTTGACCACTGGCACTGCAAGAAAATATGCAAAAACAAATGAAACCTACGTCTACATGATCATGATGATGGCAAACATAACACATAAAATGCAATGTCAGAAAGGAAATTGAGTCTCTTTATTTTTAATTATCACCATGACACGTACACGTAAAACATGATAGCCTTCTGTTCCTCCACCTGGTACTTCCGTGCTATGCGATCCTCCCATGACTTCTGTGTGAAGTCTTATAAATTTGCAAAAAAATACCGGTAAAAATATGTATGATACTTTCTGCGTGGCAAACTAATGCATGATGGGATACTAAAAAAGCACGGTGTTGTGAGATCAATGCGTTTGTGAAAACTGAATTTTACAAAACCCGGAAAGTCTTTAATATTCACGGAAAGCATATCGCAAGTAAAGGTTCACGATAAATAATATTTAAATCTGATAACATCCCGTATCATTTCTTAATATGAAAAAGGCAAAGCCTCAAAGCGAGCTCGATGTACTTTTAACGTGAAATAGTATGAAATAATCGCTCATTTTTATTTCAAATGCAGTGACGAGTGCGTGTGACGTTACACGTACTGTGTTAGATATGGCTCCGCCCCTGTCGCTAAATGAATAACGAGTTTTAAAAAACGTTGATAAGGCTCCGCCCCTGTCGTTAAATGAATAACGAGTTTTAAAAAACGTTGATAAAACTTTGTTTATTTTATTTCACTCTAAGATTATTAAAAGTGAAATAAACGTAAAACTTAAAATGTTTGCGACATTAAGTTATGAGACCCCTAATGAGCACTATAATTGACAACATAGGTCAGTTATATACCTTTAAAGACACAAGAATGCAAAATTTAAACAAAGTTTACCGTATGTTTTACGAGTTATGAAGATTTTTCTTAAGTAAAACTTTGCTAATAGAAGGGCTCTTTTTCAGAAATGAGAAACTCTAATTATTTTATTATATAATAATTATGTAATAATGTTTTCCTATAGAAAATATTTTAGAAACAAATAATAGCATGCAGCTTAACAAATGACCCAGCAAAATTATTTTTTCTACTCAAAATGTTAAAATATGTATATAAATGTTACCCTACCCCACCCATTTTAAGTAGTTGTTTGATCATTTTTCTACTTGGAGGGCCTAATTCAAAATTATCCCTAAAATTTTTCTCAAATCAGGGGCTTGTTTTCAAAGTTTGAATAAATTTACTTAAAAGTATATTGGATGCGCTTGTCAAATATAAAATACTTTTACCGTCTAGTTTTTATTTTATTAGACTTTGAAAATATCAGGTACCATATTTGATAATAGATTTGGCACAATTTAGCCAAAATATACCAATAATAATTTTATAATTAAAATTAAACACTTTTTTCTTATCAATTGTGATCTGAGAGACACAAATAATGTTCAAAGAAAAAAAAAGAAAGAAAGAAAAAAAGTTGCCTCTTCTGGGGCTTGAACCCGCGCCCCTCAGTTTCAATGCGGTTGACAGTAGTTCTAGTCTATTTGAGTACTCTTCAAAGTGGAGGTAATGCATTAGGTGCTGTTTGGCGCTACATTGTGACGTCACGTAAACAATACTTTAAACGTCTGTACAGCGTTAACGACTGAATAAAAGATATTGGTGTTCGGATTCATTTTCTTAGTTAGACCATTTTCTTCCATTCTCGATAGTTTTCACAACAAAATTCGACAAAAAATTGTTTTAATTTATCAGATTTTTCAAACAAAATGGCGCCTTCAATTTTCTTCGATATTTCACAGCTTCCGTTATTCTGGTTTTCTGTCTTATTATGGTTCCCATAGACGTGCGCGGGTGACCAGTCTACACATCCGTTTTCAGTCAGAATTCCTCAGTTTTTATCGTTATCTTTAAATTCGAAAGGTTGCGATGTGTCCAATTCGTTACTTTGGACGAAAGTTTTCAAAACCATCACTTAGCAGGTACTCGCGTTACCGTAAAGCTCGCTTTGCGAGCAGGCCCTTCGGGCCAGCTCGTCGGGCTCGCTATAAAAAAAGAGACTGTCGTCTGTCTTGCCCGATAATATGAAATTAGGCAAAGCCTATGAACGGGGAAGTCGTTAAAATTCCTTTCATTCTTTCCGTTTTTAAGGTGTCATTCGGTATTACATGCACCGCTTCCGGTTTCACTCGGAACACTCGACGATTATCATTTATCCGAAAAGTTGAGATTTGTTCCGTTATCGGAATACCCCGCCTATTATCATTGAGTTACATTGTAAATGGCGGCGCTCGACTAGAACTGACACTGAAAATTTCATTGATAGGTATAGAATTCTATATATTTTTTAATTGTTTTTTATTTGATTTTCTTTTAAATATACACGTGTAGTCTATAGCCGGGCAAGCCAAAGCGCGGGTCCCAATAGCTGGCTTTATAACCTTTGATGTTAGTTTCAGGCTATATAATATGAAAAAGGCAAAGCCTCAAAGCGAGCTCGATGTACTAAATAGTATATGTATGAAATAATCGCTCATTTTTATTTCAAATGCAATGACGAGTGCGTGTGACGTCACACGTACTGTGTTAAATATGGCTCCGCCCCTGTCGTGAAATGAATAACGAGTTTTGAAAACGTTGATAAAACCTTGTTTATTTTATTTCACCTTTTAATTTTTTCAAGCGAAATAAAGATTATTTAAAGTGAAATAATTGTAAAACTTAAAACGTTTGCGACATTAAAATAGCGTACTTGATTTGTTTGTTTTGCACGTGCTGTTTGGCGCTACATTGTGACGTCACGTAAACAATAGTTTAAACGTCTGTACAGCGTTAACGACTGAATAAGTAATAGAAAGAGCACCGAAACACGAGGTTATCTGATTTGTACGAGGGGGCGTAACATAAAAACACGTTCCCTGTTGTCACAATATGAAACCCCGGCAAAAATGAACCAATGAACGAACATCTGAATATGATATTTCTGTCGCTTTCCCTTTCTCTGCCGTCACAATATGTAAACCCCAGCAAAAATGAGCCAATCAATTGGCATGCTCTGGACCCGCACTCCAGTTAACGCACTGCGCATGTATATGTATACGATTTAACCCTGACACATTTTCAACAGAAAGGTCTCCATACTATGATACAAAAGATATTGGTGTTCGGATTCATTTTCTTAGTTAGACCATTTTCTTTCATTCTAGATAGTTTTCACAACAAAATTCGTCAAAAAATTGTTTTTATTTATTAGATTTCAAACAAAATGGCGCCTTCGATTTTCGTTTTTATACACAGCTTCCGTTATTCTGGTTCCCTGTCCAATTATGGTTCCCATAGACGTGCGCGGGTGACCAGTCTTCACATCCGTTTTCAGTCAGAATTCCTCAGTTTCTATCGTTATCTTTAAATTCGAAAGGTTGCGATGTGTCCAATTCGGTACTTTGGACGAAAGTTTTCAAAACCATCACTTAGCAGGTACTCGCGTTACCGTAAAGCTCGCTTTGCGAGCAGGCCCTTCGGGCCAGCTCGTCGAGCTCGCTATTACACGAGGTCAAATGTAATTTCAGTACATGTATATTGAAATAAAAAACGTAATATAAAATTTAATATATCAATTATGCTGCAGACTCATTACATTCAATAAATTACTTTCATACTGAAATAAATAAGAGATGGTTAATCTATCAGTATTTTGTATTGTGATTGTTCTCTGTAAATATACACTCTCCTGTTTTCCCCACACATATTCATTGCTTATATACCTCATGAATGTAATGTGATGCACTGAGATAAATAAAGAAATTTGAATAGAATAGAATAGAATAGAACAGAACAGAACATAACAGAACAGAATAGAACAGAACAGAATAGATCAGAACAAAATAACTTTTTTTCCAATCAACGGTCTATATGACATAATAAAGTCACAATAATAATGAGACCAAAGATATAAAAAAATAGATGTCAAAGAAAATAAAATTGGATTCGTATTTAAAGCAATAACAATTAATGAACCAAAACAACAAAATAACTTATAAACTAAATTTTGCTCACTAGACTTAAATTAAACATTAATTTGATTTTGATATTGTGAATCGTAAATTATATCAGGGTCTTACAAAACATTAGCTTATTATTTTATTTTTGAACAGTGATGTACTATGCCAGATCAAGGTCGGTAGATAACCTAATCACATGACTCAGTCGAGGTAACTTTTTTCGTAAAATTGGTCCGACTCCAGACCATTCTATTTGAAAGACCCTGATTATATATTATAGGTTAAGGAAAGTGAAAACTTAACCAATGTTGCCATATGATAAAAAAACAAACTTCAGCTTATAATAATGTGTTATTGCTCTTGATAGGATAATAGAATTTTAAAAGTGACTATCCTAAGAATTCTCACCGAATTATAGCTTTACACTCAAACTGGAAAATTCGAATACCAATATAACAGTAATTTAGCAATAATTAAGTGTCATACTGTTTAGTACCTTTGTTCAAAACTAATGAAAAGAAATAACAAACTGTGTGAAGAAAGAGTGGTGGAGGATAAAAATTTACCCTGAACTTTAATAAGACCGTAATTGGTTTGAATCCCAACCAAAAGGACATTCTTTTCGAATTCCACAAACCTCACTTTTGTGAAATTACATACCTATTAGGAAACCCAGGAATCAGTCACATGTTTATGTTGTCTATTATATGGATCACGACAGAAAGCCACTTTGATATCACCAGAACACGTGCATTTCAGCCACCGCATCCTTCCTGGGAAAGCTGTCGAGTATTTTATCAGTGCTAATTAGATGCTGTCACTTTAGAATTACTTTTGTACGTACAAATTATTTCATGATCAATAATGAAGAATCGTGCCCGGTTCGTCCGATTCCCAGTCCAACGCGCTATTAATTGAGCAAACCAAGCGATGCGCGGATAAAAAAATGTATGACTTAAAGCGCTTTAGTACACCCAATGTGGGGCAGTGACTGCATACAACTCATAGTTTAATTCATATTGCTCTGTAACCCTGAGAAATTCAGGACGATTTTCAATATCGCGGAGGAGTATGTCACTGTTTAGAACTGTTCACTATTTAGGGTTCACTATATAGATGAGACCTCGGTGTTGGTGTACATGTCATGGCTTATTTATTATTATATATCTTTATGTTTGTTAAATATTTGTACCGTACTTTAAATGTCCAAGCATACGTATTTAATACCGAAATAAATATCTCTTACCTTCAACAAGCTTTTTATTACTTGTCATAACACATGAGTCATACTGTAGCCAGCCAATGAAAATGAAGGTTAAAATTATGTTCCAAATTACTATGATATTGG